ATATAAACATACAATGCTATAATATTTGATCTCAGAAAATATCTAGGAAAAACTTCCAAATCATCTGATTTTTTGTACAGTGGGGCCTTTTTACCATAAGCAGATTTTAGTTATTTTTCTAGGCCAACTGGTCAATCTTCTTTTATGCTTTCCATGGTGAGTTTAATCATCTTTAGTTTTTATAAATATTAAATGATATGATGTTTTTCTATAACACTAAAAACATCCTAAAGAACCTACACAGCATATGTCAGGATCCCAAAGTGCTCATCTTTAATAAAGGTGACCCCAATTTCCATAGAATCCAGAGTTCACCAGCATCATGACAGTAGATGGGAAAGTAGCGGACTTCAGGGTCCACGTCCCAGATTCCAATTATGTAGGAAGCTTTCAGTTGCAAAAAGTAATAGCAAAACCCAACTGAATCTGGTTTACAAGGTAAAGGAAATTTAATGGTTCACCCAATTGAAACTACAGAGGTGCATGTGCTAGGCATGAGAACTGACCCAGGGTCTCATATAATGTGACTTATGACCAAGTTTCTTTTCTTTTTTTTAGTTCTTTTTCTAGATGGTTAAATCTTAAACTTATCTGAAACAAAAGTATATCCCCCTCCTCCCCGTTTGAGGTAGTATCTATTTCTTTTAGTGTTTACTGTCATTTCTTTGGTGTTGACTCCATTTTGGACACCCCCATTGGATTTTGAGGAGCTCTGAGAGTTACATGAAAACTCATTCATAAAACAGCAAATAGAAAATCTATGTCGGTGTGTTCAGAAAATAATGTCTTTAAGAGTCAGTCTGGCTGGACCAGCTTAGGTAACTGTGTCAATTCCAAACCATTCATTACGAACAGAAATTAAACATTCAGATTGGCTCTGCTAATCAGGGCCCTTCTCTGGGACAGTCCATCTAAATCACAAAGGTGAGAATGAAGGTAGGGGGTAGGTTCTGAAAAGAAATTCAGGCTACTAGGAGGAGAAATAGATGCTGGGCAGCCAATAATAGGAACTTCCAGAGTCTATTTCCTATTTACTCATTTAGAAAGAAATCTAAGACTTTAACCCAAAATGTACCTCACATACATTCTCCATGTTACCTAACACATTTCTAGAAAACAGACATAAAAGTTAATTTCCCAGTATTTTATTTCTGTAATATAGTAATTTTATAATCACTTAAGACTTTGCCATGTAAGTGGTGATACATACTTTATCTGGAGTGATTTTATATTTAGTAAAGTGTCCATATTCAAAAGAAACTTCTCTCTGATGCCTTGGTGAACTCAAAAACACCTTTCAGTTGATATCCCTTTTTTAGTGTTTAAAAAACAACACAAAAAAGAAACTGTAGAATTATAAACCTAAAACCTGTATAATTTTATTAACCAATGTCACTCTAATACATTTAATTAAAAAAAGAAAACTCTTAAAAAATAGAAATAAATAAAAAGCACAACTTTCTAAAATTGCCAGACCACAAAAGCACACATTGCAATACAATAACCTTCTTTTCACAAGGCATCATTGTCTTGGTTCACATTCTTCCACATGTTCGTTCTCTAGTGCCTAGCTCCCGCAAACTGTTTTTTCGTTTTTTAACTTTTTTAAAATCCTCACCTGAGGGTATTTTTCCATTTATTTGGAGGGGAGGGGTAGAGAGAGAGAGAGAAACACCGATGTGAGAGACACACCACCAGTTGCCTCCCACATGACCCGGACCAGTGCCAGGGGGGAACAAACTGCAACCGAGGTACATGCCCTTGACCGGAATCAATCCCAAGACTCTTTGGTCCACAGGCTGATGCTCTAACTGCTGAGTCAAACAGGCCAGGGCTCTTTTCTTTTCTTTTGACCTGTATCTTAAATCTTCTCACATTCTCCCTACGATTGTCGTTCTGGTTTTCCTTTTGCCAACCTTCCCCACTGCCACTCCTTTCTAGACTCCCAGCACTTTTTCAAGCTAAAGTTCTTTACCTTTCCTTTCTCTGCTGAAATCCAAGAAAGAAGTCTCTAGTGAGATAATACGTGCAGCCTGCCCCACCTGCTTAACTGCTTGCAATCTGTCTTAAGCCTCTATAATTTGAATATACTTAGTTATCAGTGGCATTAATTCATTCCACTGAAACATTTACATGGTTGATAACCTTCTGAGCGTGCTCCGTCTAATTGGTCTTCCTTTGTCACCCCTAAGATGTAGCCATATCTCTCTGTTCCATTAATTTCTCTTTCTCTTTATACATCAAAAACCCCAAAAAGGTTTAGTAAAGCTCTGAGAGTTCTCTGACTAGTTCTCTGGTCCCAATCTTTCAGCTTTGTTTTCCACTTCATTACCTCATTGTCAACTCACTGCTCAAGACTGCTCACCTGTGCTTTTCCCTGTGGTTCTAAGGTTCCCTTTGAAATAGCTTCCTTCAAGGCCCAGCTTAAATGTTTTCCCCTCTATTAACCCTATTCTAGCTCCCCACAGGCTGTAAACTATCTCCAACTCATCACCCAGGTCCACAATACCACCAGATTCCTAACTAGCCCAACTAGTATCCTGCTTCTTGCCCGTCTCCTAATTGTTTCTCCACACAACCACCATGATCTCATGTTATCTAAACCCTTTACCATGGCCTATAAGGGCTGTGCTAAGTACTTTACTTGGATTAATCCATTTAATCCTGTCAGTAATCCTCTGCCAATGTATGTTTAATATCCTCATTTGTAGTAGTTTCTGTTGATGACTCACCCAGATCCCTTTTACAGTGCTGATGCACCTATAGCCCAGCGGTTAGCAGGTGTTGGCTGCTAACAGCTCATACCTGCACCTTATTTGGAGGGTTGCCCTCAGCTGAGCAGAGGCATCTCACCACCCTTCCAGCTCCTCCTGACCCCACTGCAAATAGTAATGATTGCCTGATATGGAAACAATAGCTCAGCCCCTCACCTCTGGGCAGGACAATCTATGTGGTCCAATCCATACTGCACAGTACACTGTAGGATCAGGTGGAGGCTGAACTTCAGAAACCTCTTCTTCCCCCACCGGGTAGTTTTCTTTACCTCATTACAAATTTATCTTAAGAGCACACCCTCAATAAGAAAGTCACTTGCCCAAGAATCCTCATCATACGTGTTGCTACGAAAGAACTGATCCAAGATGCAATTATACAGAGAAAACTTGAGAGGTAAAATGATTTGCCTAGCCCTGGCTGGTTTGGCTCAGCGGTTGGAGCATCGGCCTTTGGACCAGAGTCCTGGGTTTGGTTCCTGCTGGGGGTACATACCAAAAAAAAAAAAAAAAAAAAAAGATTTGCCTAAATCAAAGAGAATATGGGAAAGCTGAAATTAGAAGCCAATCTGGCTACTGATCCAGTACATTCGCCCCATACTGTAATGGCCACCTGTCCAACCTCCTCTGGCCACTCATCACCTCTAGCAAAGTAAACTCCTGCCTTAAGCCTTTTGTACTTCCAATTCTTGATATCAGTGTGTTTCCTCTATCTCATTGTGCCTTACTTTCTCACTTATGTCAAAATGTTTCAATTACATCCTCAAAGAGACCTTTCCTGACCCCAAACATCCTACCTAACATAACAAGTATTAACAAACCTGCTTTAGTGCTATAGTATTTAATACCTAAAATTCTATTATGCTTTTATTTGTATGTTTTCTGTCATTTGCACTAAAATGAAAGTTCCCTGAGGGCAAGAATGTTGCCTGGCTTATTTACTGCTATATTCTTAATGCTTGGTACCATACCTGGCACAGGGCGGGAGCTCAGTAACTACCTGTTGAAGAAGTGGAATGATTTCTTTTCTCAGAACTCTTATAGGCTTTGTACAAATCTTTTTGCATGTTCTTGACCTAGAACTATAGTTATTTAATGTTCATTTATTTATTCTGCAAGTTTGTATGCTCTTAAAGGACAGAAATTGTTTTATTAATTTGGAGTACATAGGAGACATTCAAATAATGACACTATCTCTACAATTCCCAATACATATCAACTGCAGCTTGTTTTTCCATACAGTGACTAGTATCAGGACTTCATATGAATTATAGTATAATCCAGAAGTATGAAAAAAAGTCACATTTAATTTATAAAGTAACAAATTCCTGGGCATATTACAAAAAATTATAGAAAATATAATTAGCTACTTATCATTTCACCTTTATTTTTAAAACAATGTCATTTTCAAAATAAGAAAAATAGACCTATTTTCAAAGAACCATTTAAATATGGCTTTGAAAACCACAATGTTTTATTTACAACAAATAGATGTAGTGTAATAGCAGTCATGGATGTTTATGATAAATAAAAATATTAGCATTATTCTGGCATCCCTTTGGGGCAGAACTTTATATATATTTACAGTGACTCATAAAAGTAAAACCAATAATGACCACTAATGTAATTTATACTTGAACCTGAATTTGAATAACCAATGTAGATTAGTAATTTATCAGGGAACTGGACCCATACATCCAAAAACTGAAGTAGGAAATTATAGTTTCTCAGCTCCATGCAGTTTGTCAACAAACACATCTCGGTCACTCCAGTAACCTATAAGGTGATCTACTTGCAACTCCAGTAAGTGATTTATGTGTAAAATAGCTGGATTCCAGTTGATTTTATCAATTTGAAAGATACTAGGTACCCATGCCAAAACTAATGGAATCCAGGATTACATTTTAAATTATGGAAGAACCTTTGGAAATAAAATCAGTAATGGAATGACAACAGACGTCAGATATTTCTCAAATTAAGAGAAGTACTCACTTCTAAAATGTCTCTAGTTTGTGTATTCCAGATGAATGAAAACTAAAGCACATTTACAGTATTTTTTTTTTTTAATCCTTACCTGAGGACATTTTTGCATTTATCTTCAGATAGAGTGGGAGGAAGAGAATGGGAGAGAGAGAAACATCAATGTGAGAGGGACACATCCACTGGTTACCTCCCGCATGACCCCAACCAGGGCTGGAGATGAACTGCAGCTGAGGTACATGCCCTTGGAATTGAACCCTTGACTCATAAGTCCATGGGCCAACGCTCTACCACTGAGCCAAATTGGCTAGGGCTACATTTTTTTCCTCACCAAATTTTCCCAATTGTAAAATGGTCAGGACTTGGGCAACATTATTTCCAACAAATCTTTAAAGTCTAATTTACCCATGAAACAGTGATGACATTCTTATAAGAAGCCATTTTCTTGCTATTGCAGAGGTCAATTTTAAAGTGAAATCAAGCAAATGAGTTCAGAAAAAGAAGCACATTCATCTAATCCATTTAGCAAATGCTGCAAATCAGCTTCTACTTGAACAAGGTAATAGAGAAATTTGTGAAACTCTCCACTTGATATCAGTTTTACTGTTGTGTTCATGGCAGCTAGTTCAGGCAGAGGTAGCCAAGTCCTCTATACACGGGGAAGGCAAAAAGCAGAAAAAACATTGTGAAGACTTAGCAGTTTTTTGACTTCTAATGATTATAGACCAGTTTTGATTATGAGCCATGTTGCTGCATAATATTCTTCTGAGTTTGACATTTCAAACATGAAAAATGCATGTTGCTGCCTTGGGCAGATGTACTGGACTTATCTTCTTTTAGCTTACTTTTTCTCTTCTCTAAGGTTAAATAAAAAATGAGACACATTTTCATATACCACAAAAGTAATACAGCAGGCTGGAGTCACTCTAATCAAATTGGGAGCAATTCCTTTATAAAATCCACCGATGCCTTCTTTCCTTTAAAGAGAAAAATAGACAGATACTTAATTTCCTATATAGCTAGGCTGAAGATGCAAAAATTGAACTGACATAGGGTATGGGGCCAGCAGTCAAACCTCACTGTGATATAAGTGCATGTTTCCAATGTCCTGAATGTAGCTTATGAGCCAGTTGTAGGGGCTTACATTCTCTTTATGGGCTGGCTGAGGAAGAGAGGACAGGGACACTTCAAAACTGAACTGAAGTGCGTTAATAATAACCATCTTTCAAATGCCTTTAAAGGTATAAACATACAGGAGTATTAACTGATCTAATGTAGGCATTAAAAAATCTCATATATTATATAAATTCAAGACAACACTAAATATAGCACATACCAAAATAAAACTATTTCCTTACTGCCTAGATAGGAATATGGTCTTGGAACTTGTCACTTGGGTTCTTGATAAATATTTACTAAATTGAACTTAAACATTCTAAATATTCTACTCTGGCCTTTTAGAGTTAAAGATAAATATGGGGATGTCTACCTGTAACAGTTATTACCATGCTAATGAACAAATATTTCTTCCATACGTAGAGACTAATGCAGTAAGTCCTCATTTAACGTAGTCCATAGGTTCTACTACCTTAAGCAAAATGATGTAAAACAAAACTAATTTCACCACAGGCTAATTGATATAAACAAGAATTAAGGTCAACATTGCAATGAAACAATATTATTCGAGGATCTGCTGTATTTGCACAAGTTATGGTACCCACAGCAGGTGTGGGTAAACCAGGTCTTTTAAGACTTCCTATATTCAAAGCCATTCATATATTTTATAACATCTAAATTTTGTTTTATTAATTTGTCAAAGCACTTTCACATACCTCATTTGATTTTTATAACAACCTTGTCAGCCTAGATATTATAATTTTACAAATCAAGCCTTAGAGAGATTACGTCCAAGCTCCTATATGTAGTAAATGGGAAATGGAAAAGCAGAGGCTACTAGCCATGCTTTCACCATAGCACCTTGACCTTTACTATAAAATTAATGTCAACTGGACAGTTTAAGATCTGCAAGGTACTTCCTAAGAGCCACTTCGATACACCACAAGCTCTCACCTCCATGTCCTTGTGATTACATCCGACACACCCTTGTAGGACATGTGCTGATCCTGAAGTCGAGCTCTCACAACTTGATATGGGTACGTTGCTGCTACAGCAAATATTTTGGATAGTGCGGCAACAGATATATATTCTGCTGTGCTCTAAAATGACAACAACAAACACGTGGCTTTCTTTAGATAGGATTTCTTTAAAAACATAAAGTATATAGGAAAACAAACATTTAAATAGATCTGTAAGTGAAAAGTACTATTTCCCCTCTTAACACGAGCTTTGAGCAATTAAGGGGTTCTATTTTTAATATCTGTGTGCCATTAGCCTATAAAATATTAACTATAAATTAAATTAGAGGCAGAGTCAGTATTCATCATCACAATACTCCCAAAGTAAACATGACAACATTTTCATCTACTATATGCCCACAAAAGCAAATAATACATTTTTTTTTTCAGGAATCATCTTACCAACTGGGCTTCTGGTAATCTATTGATATGCTGGTTGTATTTCAACTTCAATAATTCATATGCCATAAACTGAAGAGCACCATGTGATGTTCCAAACAGCCCAGGAACAAACCCCTAAAATGATATAACAAAAAAAAACACTAAACTAAGCAAATTCCCAAAGGACCACAGTTTCCAGGGAGGGTAGGTGACCTCAACATGTGACTTAAGTGAAATGGTTACTCAACAAAGTTTTAGACAATCCTCACACTCAGTCATATTATGATAATACAACTTATGGTAACGGGGACATACGGCTTAAAGTACAATTCCAATACTGTAAACTAGAGTTCACTTTTCATTAAATTTTTTCTTGCCTAAGTTTGGCTTCTTTTTTAGAACTGACTAGAGGTCATTCAGAACTCAGACAGTAGAGCCAAGGGAAATTACAATGGTCAGTTATTAAAAATGTATTGAATAATAATTCATTACCTTATACAATCCACGCACACCTTCATACTTATATATTTTCAGAAGTGCATCAAACATTCCTTTATATTGCCGCTGTGGGGAGTTAACATCGTACTGTAACATAAGGCGAGTTTTTGTTACCCATAATGGGTTTGTAATGCAGAGAGTCATGGCTCCTAAAAGCAGATTTAAATACAATTATTCAGCATACAGGTACTTTTTCAATCATGACAATCCAAATTAAGAACAGTCCATTTATATAAAGAATGGGTTGTCCAGGGTCTGTACCTACAACAGTGAGATGTGGTCGGTGAGGCACAGTATTAGGGCTAAAAAGTACACGTAGTTTTGGTTGGTAATAAAATAGTCCTCATGTGGTTAGTGAGTGGTAAATTAAAAGGGAGACAGAAATGTGAAACACTTTCCCATTGAGGTGTGAGGATAAAGATGTCCTAGCTTCTAAATGATGTGAACTGGTATAAGAGAAGAGATGGAAGCCCCAGGAAGTAGACTCTGATAAGGAGATACATATACTTAGGAGCAGGACATAGTATAACCCAGAGGGGTGGAAGATTAGGGGAAAAGGACCAGGAATCCACCAATATGTACATGTGTACACATATATCCACCCCGATTTTACCACAATCTTGCTCAAGTCCATTCAAGGTAGCTACTATAGCCCCAAACTAAAGAACTATGCAATGTAATAAGTATTATCTTAAATTTTTTAGAGAAAGTGACAATTTTGTAAATAACAACAAAACAATCTAAGTTTTTCATTTGCTGAGTTTTCTAAGTAGTCCCTTATTGTTCCTATGTGATTCAGATCCCTCTGCTAGCAGCTAGATATTAAAAAATAAGTAAGACAATTCTTGCCTTAAAAATCAACATTAAGCCCAGCTGATGTGGCTCAGTGGTTGAGCGTCAACCCATCACCAAGAGATGCCAGTTCAATTACCAGTCAGGGCACATGCCCAGGTTGTGGGCCAAAACCCCAATGGGGGGCATACAGGAGGAAGCCACTAGTCGATGTTCTCTCTCATGGATGTTTCTCTCTCCCTCTCCCTTCCTCTCTCTCTACAATCAATAAAGAAAAAAATTTGTTTAAAAAAAATCAACATTAAGAAAGCAAGGCATGCCCTGGCTAGTGTGACTTGGTGGTTAGAGCATTGGCCAGTGCACTGAAGGGCCTCAGGGCCTGTGCGGAAAGCAACCAATCAATGTGTCTCTCTCATATCAATGACCCCCCTCCCTTCCACTCTCTCTAAAAAGCAATGAAAAGAATATCCTCCGTTGAGGATTAACAACAACAAAAAAAAGAAAGTAAAGCATACGAAATATCAAAGTAGGAGTTTTAAAGACTTATGGGTCTTACTTTGTTTTCCCCTTCTGAGTATTATACACATATGAAGCAATTAAAGAAGGCTACTAAATTGTATAATTTGAACACTAAAATTATATTTTAATTGAAGAAACACTATACCAAATTATTTTAAATTATTAGAGGTTTATAATTTTTCTAAATTTTACTACCCTGTGATAAATAAAATCCTTGAAATCTATCCAGAGTAATCGATAAGAATACCTGCTTTTCAGGTCAGAGAAAGACAAGTACTACATGATGTCACTTACTTGTGGAGTATCATGAACAAAATAAGCTGTCGATTAGGACAGATCCAGAGACATGGAAGAAGGGAAAGGACTGACAAGCCTCAGAGGGAAGGGGGGATGGGGGATGTGAAAAGATACACCAAAGAACTTATATGCATATATGCATAACCAATGGACACAGACAAAGGTTTAGGGAAAGCGGGGAGGGGTCAATGAGGGAAGGAAGAAGGGACATCTGTAATACTTTCAACAATAAAGATAAAAAAAGGAATACTTGCTTTTTAATAAATTTCATGTGATCACTGATTAGTATAGTTAGATAAGCTTATTTAAATTCTGGTGTTCAAAGAAAAAAAGGCAAATAAAATATAAAACAAAAGTGAAAATCTGACGTTTTAAATTTCACACAGTTTTGCCCTGGCCAGTTTTGCTCAGTGGTTAGAGCACTGGCCAGTGGACCAGAGAGGCCTGGGTTCAGTTCCCACTAAGGGCACGTACCTCGGTTGCAGTTTGTCCCCGGCCCTGACTGGAGTCATGTGGGTGGCAACCACTCGATGTGTCTCTCTCACGTCAATGTTTCTCTCTCTCTCTCTCTTCCCCCACTCCCTCCTGCTCTATCTGAAGATAAATGCCAAAAAAATAAAATAAAATAAAAAATAAAATAAAATAAATTTCAGTCTTACCAGCTTCAGCAGCTGAGACGAGGTATTCTGTTGCCTCTAACCGCTCAGCTCTTCCTTCTGTCTTATATGACTTGATGGCATTGTAACTAAAAGAATAAAACATAAGCAGTTTAATAAATATTTGAATAGGTGTCATAAAGCAGTCAAGTCTGTTTTAAAGTGGTGTGTAATTTAACAATAATGCCTCAAGAGTAAATGTCAATGCATAATGCAACCACAAAATGAGAACTTTTCAAAGAATGAATTTGCTGGAATGGTTTACTGTTAAAATTATATGCCTCCTCCTCCTCCTAAATACATATGACTAGCAATACATATGTAATGTATTTTAATCACACACTCATCAATTAATAAAATGACAGGGCCCTGGCTGGTTTGGCTAAGCAGTTAGAATGTCAGCCTGCAGACCAGTGAGTTGCGGGTTTGATTACAGTCAAGGGCATGTGCCTTGGTTTCGGTTTGTCCCCGGCCCTGGTCAGGGTCACTCGGGTAGCAACCAGTTGATTCGTCCCTCTCATGTTGATGTTTTTCTCACTCTCCCTCTCTCTCCTTCCTCCCACTCTATCTGAAGATAAATAGAGGAATATCCTCGGGTGAGAATTTTTTAAAAAAAGGAATAAAAAACAACAGGGAAAAACAGGAAGAGGGGGGTAGGTGCAGTGGTGGTACAGTGATTGGGCAGAGAAGGCAAGGGACCAAAACAGGCACCTAACAAATATGTGCTGAACATCTATGTCTGGGTACTATGGTTGGCAAGTCTAGTAGATAAAAAGATAAACTCTCAGTGGATCCTTCCTAACAGACTCACAAAGACCACAGGCAGCACACAAATAATAAAAGGTAACACAGACAGTATCATAAGAGATTGAGAAACTATGACTGAGATCAGGGAAAGTGGCATTGACTGAGAATGGAGAGATGGGTACAGTTATAATAGGGAAACAGATGAACATGAATAAAAGTTATAATAAGAGTGAATGGGAAGACAGGGAATACCGAGCCACATTTGAGTGGCGCACTGACTTTTGGGCTTTATTTGGCACAAAATAGAAAACCACTAATGTGTTCCTGAGCAGGAGTCAAGTCAGCCTATTTTCTTTAACTCTGATTTCCACTTTCTCTTGAAAAAATATTTCAGCTAAATAAATCTTTCCAAGCTTTACCAATACCATTTTCAACACATAAACCTTATATGGCTTGTCCTTAGAAATCTCTTTGGAGAACCTACACAACTCTGAAATTCATAATAGTATGAATTTTATACATATATTTTCACTCTTCTGAGTATGTCTTAAAAAAATAATATTTAAACAATATTAAAGCTGAATTGTATTTTGCTTTCACTTAAAGCAGCACATGCTCCTCCAGTGCAGTGTAATGATGCTTTGTTCCCACGCTCTGTATACTCAATAGGTTGAATATGCCTGCCACAGGCACTTTCTGTGGCTTCTTCAGTAAGCATGCAATAGCAGTTATTTCAAATGGTGTTGATATGTTACAGGTTAAGGATAAAGGAAATGAATGAGCTAGGATGAAGATGAAGCACATGAAATAAGAGGTAAAAAGGAACATGCCTCAAACTCTTTCAGCTATGCACTGGCTTTTGCTTTCTGTTTCCAGCAGGAACTTTCCTGTGGTACATGTTCTTACTGGAACCCCAAGATCTGTTCTCTTCTGCTTTTCCAACTTCATTATGAATCAAGTGTATTTTGGTAAGCCATTTTCCTGAATTCATCTCACAGAAATGACTTCTCTAAGAGTGTTTCTCCGTTTCATCTCTGCCTTCTTCCTATTAAGAACTTTCTTCCAGACCAAATGCTAACAGAGGATGAAATAAGCCATTTTGTTCTTTCTGATTAAATGACTCATCTTGTTTTATTAACTCATACAGATCTACTCACAAGAAAAAGTAGAGTCCCCAGGATAAACCAGCACCCCACACATTTGGGGTTACTCCTTGGTAAAGTCCCCGTAGTCCATCAAGTTTCCAAATGGTAGTCAAGCAATGCAGAATTCCTTTATATTTTGGTCTTAGTTCCAATCCATCACTCACTACAGTAAAAGATACACAAAGTCAGGTGAGAGCAAAGTTCAAGCTCTGAATCGCATATAAACATAGATATTACACAATCATATAAATGAGATAAATTCAGAATAAAAAGATATTTATGTAGAGGAAATTATTTTAGGAAATATTTAATACTTTTAAAAACACATTCATGAATTTATTCAAGTTTTTATTGAGGGCATATTGAGCACTCAAATAATATTATAGAAAGTGTTGGAGTAGCATCTCTTAAATAATCCAAAAACCTCTTAAATAGGTTTCAACAAAAGTTGTTTTTGTTATTGATATCCAAGATTAAGGATTCAAATAATCAAAAATATTACTCAAAAAATAAAGAGTAGAATTGATTTAACTCTAAGATAAACCACCTCTGCCTAATTCTTAATGCAGAATTTCATATATAGTAATGAGAGAACAGAAACGACAGAAAATAGTTTGCAAATAAAGTTATCAAAGACCTTCTTTGAAACTATCTTTTCCAGAATTGTGTCTAGTTTAAATTCGTTTTTTTTATTTTTTATCCTCACCCGAGGACATTTTTCTATTTTTTGTTCAGATAGAGCAGGAGGGAGAGAGAGAGAGAAACATCAATGTGAAGGGACACATCGAGTGGCTGCCACCCGCACGACCAACCAGGGCCGGGGACAAACTGCAACCGAGGCCGGTGCCCTTAGCGGGAACCGAACCCGGGTCTCTCTCTACCACAGGCCGATGCTCCAACCGCTGAGCCAAACCTGCTAGGGCTAGTTTAACTTCTTAAATACTTTGTTAATTTTAATATACTTTATTTACTTAACTCAAGGCATTTAATTCAATACACCTTAAAAAAAAATAGGACCTGACTGGGTGAACCAGTTGGTTGGAGCTGTTATCCAGTATACCAAAAGGTTGAGTTCATTCAGGTCAGGGCACATACCTACATACCTACGTTGTAGGTTCAATCCTGGGTGTGTGTGTGTGGGGGGGGGGCTATGGCAGTCAATCAATGTTTCTCTCACACATTTATGTTTCTTTCTCTCTTTCTCTTTCTCTCTCCCTCTCCCTCTCCCCCCTCCCTCTCCCTCCCCCCTCCCTCCCTCTCCCCCCCTCCCCCCCCCATTCTTCAATAAACATATCCTCTAGTGAGGATTTAAAAAAATACTTGGCGCCCTGGCCGGTTTGGCTCAGCGGTTAGAGCGCCGGCCTGGGTCCAGAGAGACCGGGGATTGGTTTTCACTAAGGGCACGTACCTCGGTGACAGTTTGTCGTGCAAGTGGCAGCCAGTCGATGTGTCCCTTTCACGTCGATGTTTCTCTCTCTTCCTCTCTCTCCCTCCTACTCTATCTGAACAAACAAACAAACAAACAAACGGAAAAATGTCCTCGGGACATAAAATCCAAGTACTATATATATAAAAATATATATAGTACTTGGATTTTAGCTACCCATTTCTTCAAGGGGCCTTGTACCGCATTACAAACGTCAAACAACAAACCTTCAAGACAATTCTCTCACACCTGCTGGGGACTACCTCCCACTAAGCACTTTCATTTTCCTCTCAGCGCGTTGACAAACACGTGGCTGTCCTAAGATTTCAAAGTGCCTTCAACCGTGCATGTTTTGCCTGTGTTTTGGTCTAAACCCGAAATGTGACAATCCCTTTATTTTACAAATCAGGCTTTGAGTTCCACATTCTACCCCGGTGAGGACTTTTCTCCCTAATGCTCCCCATCCCTTACTCGGCGACGGTGGCCAGATCCCTGTACCAGGGTCCCTTCCTCAAATCTAGTTCCAGTTGAGCCCCTACTGAGAGCAACCTTTTTCAACGCTCGCCCTTAGCATGGGAGGAGCAGGGCAGACAAGGCTTCCTTCTGCACCTTTCCCACCCAGTTCGGGGGGACAACAAGGAGAAGGAGCCCAGGGTCAGAGTGGGCTCTTACCGGCAAAGCGTATCTTCACTAGGTCCAGCGGGTGCAGCGCGAGGTTGGACAGGACCCCGCCGCTCACACCCGCCACCAGGTTCTCGTACCGGACGTGGCGGAAGATCGCGCTCCACCCCGACGACCCAGGCGCCGACTGGCCCTGGCCCGTCATTGGTTCGGGGGCTGCTGACACCACGGCGCCTAGGGCCGCCGAGGTGGGATGAGATGCAGTGGCCGCCACGGTGCCGACGTTCGACACCCTGAATCGGGAACCCGGGGACGCTAGCCCACTTCCGGGCCGGGTCGCGGACTCGGACGCACGAAGTCGAGGGTCCGGGCGGCAAACGGGGCATGACAACGGGCAGCCGCAAGTCACGCCGGCGGAGAGTGCGCAGGAGGTGGGGCGCCCGCCCCCGGCGAGTCCCCTCCCAGCTTCGCCCACAGCGGCGGCAGGCTGGGGCTGAAGGACGACGACTGGAGCGCACAGAACCGCCCCCACAGCCAATCTTTGTCGGCAACTACGGAGCGCCGCGGGGCCCAGCCTAGGAGGCCGGTTTCGGCGCCGTGGAAGTCACATGGCAGGAAGTCGGCTAGAAGAAGCGGAAGTAGCATGTGCTTGGGGAGGGGGCGGTAACCGGAACCCGGAGGGAAAGGCTCGTGGAGTCGGCGAGAACTGGTAGCCAAGATGAAGGTGAAGATGCTCAGTCGGAACCCGGACAACTATGTCCGCGAAACCAAGTTGGACTTACAGAGAGGTGAGGCGGGTTAGCAGGGAGCCCGCCAGCCTTGGGTCTGGCCTGGGCTCCCACCGAGTGAAGCTGGCGGGGGTACTCGCTCTGTAGTCTCGCTGCCTGCGCCCTTTCGCCAACGGACACTTTACGGATCAGGCCGTGGTGGGACTGGGTAGCGGATAACTTCTCTTGAAGTCCTCTTTAAAAGAACTTGGTCGAATAGTGAGAAAGTTAGCTCTATGGAGAATGTTTCCGCTCACTTCGCACCCCCTCCAGCTACTGCTCTCAGGTTCCTGTTGTTGAAAAGTGCAACTTGAATGAGCCAAAGTCGTGGGTTGAAGGAATTAACGATTGAACTGGCTTCTTTACACCTTACAGCTACTCTTCTTTACACCTTACAGCTGCTCTAACTTCTGACCACTTTACTAAAAATCACGTACGTCTGGATGTAGGAAGAGACAAAGGTGAAACGAAGCCATCCATTTTCTCAATCAACAACTTTTGGAATTGGGAAATGGTTAAAATGAAATTAATGACTTTTATCCGTACTGGTCTGTTCCCCCATTAACACACTGGTTGCTTATGAATTATGTAATTGCTTGTGATATCTAAATGACAAGGGACCAGCCATATGTTAACACAATTAGAACTGCAAAGAATAACACGTTCAAAGGCCTTAAGGCAAAAATGAACTTGGGGGCCATGTCATCAGAGGTTGAGTAAGGGATAAAATGATAGAAGATGAGACTGGAACAATATTTCGTTATTTTCATTGAATAGTAGAGATTGTCAACATATACGTGAGCATTGCTAAGAAGTAGGTAATCTACTCACAAGATGGTTTTACAGGTTAAGTAACAAGACAGTAATGTTTCTAATATGCATTAGGTTATGTCACTTGGATTTGACATCATCTTTGTTTCCTGAATATGGTCTCATCTTCCTCTCTAGTTTTGCCAGGATATTTACCCTTGCCAGTGTGAGTGCATTTCAAGCATTCTCTTAATGCAAGAATGAATGAATGACTGGCTGGTCATAAAATCTTAGTGTTAGGAGGTGATTAGTTACCTGATCTTGTTGTTAAGGGTCTGACTTATTTTCTACACATCTTCTTATTTCTTTATACTTTATGATGGAAGTATTGATAGAAAAATGGAAAAAATGAAGTATTGGAGCTCTGTAAAACATAAAATAAGGGAGATACTTGTTAGCTTTATGTCATTCATGTTTAGCTGTTATTTCCTTGTAAATTTTGTGCAGTCGTCATATGCTTATTTCAGTATTTTGATTCATTGACCTGGGGTGGGCATCAGAGAATGTGTATTTTTAAAACTCTATTGGTTGTTCTGATACAGTTGGTTAAAATACAGACGTGTGAGAAAAACTTACATAAATATATACCACGTGTTTGTTAGCTGTGATATCCTTGGTGCTTGTGGCATATGGCAGATGCTTTATATATACTTATTGACTGTTCATTGTTTACTAAATGTGGGAATGATTGTAGTGATTTGGAACACTTTATAGAAGACCTGAGATTTAAGCTGAATATTTTTAAAAGATAAATGGGGTTTAAATAGGTTAGGATAAAAGCTGGAGTATATTATTTCTTTTCTTTTTTTTTTTTTTTTTTTACTTTATTGATTTTTAGAGCGAGAGGAAGGGAGAGGGAAAGAGAGATAGAAACATTGATGAGAGAGAACATTGATTGGCCACCTTCTGCGTGCCCTCCACTGGGAATTTGGCCTACAACCTGGGCATTTGCCCTGACTGGGAATCGAACTGGCGACCTCTTGGTACATGGGTCGATGCTCAACCATGGAGCCACACTGGCTGGGCCGGAGTATATTCTTGGTGGGAAGAACTGACTTCTGCAAGTACTCAAGAGTAGGGAAGTTCAAGGCAGTTTTAGGTGATAGTGAATAAACCATTTTGGCTGGCGATGAGTTAAAGAAACTACTTGAAGAAGTAGGTTGGGACCTCAATGTGGAAGACCAGAAAGGAGCTTGGACTTAATTCCATTGGTCAGTGGTCTGTAAAATGGATGTACTGGGCTATTCATTACGGCGTAGAAAAACAGTACTTAAGTTTATATTGATTTTTAGAGGGAGTGGAAGGGAGAGGGAGAGAAACATTGATGTGAAAGCAAAACGTCAATAGGCTCCCCCTCCCCACCTGCCACACCCCCCTCCCCCACAAAGGACCAAGCCTGAAACATAGGCATGTGCCCTTACCAGCCAAGGCCAATTTATATATTTCTTATCTTAAAAAATAAATTAATCTTGCCCTGGCCATTTTGGCTCAGTGGTTGGAGCATCGGCCCGAGGACCAGAGAGTCCTGGGTTCAGTTCCCACTAAGGGCATGTACCTCGTTTGCGATTTGTCCCAGGCCCCAGTTGTGGTTGTGTGGGTGGCAACCAGTTGATGTGTGTCTGTCTCACATGGATGTCTGTCTGTCTGTCTCTCTCTCTCTCTCCCCCCCTCTCTCCCTCTCCCTCCCCCCCTCTCTCCCTCTCCCTCCCCCTCTCCCTCCCTCTCTCCCTTTTTCCCTCCTGCTTTATCTGAAGATAAATGCAAAAAACTGTCCTCAGGTGAGGATAAAAAAGGTTAATTAATTAATCTTTATTTGGATAATACTTTCACTGACATCCTCCTTTCAGCAATATGTTAAATAGTCACATACTGTATGTGGTACTTGAGGTAGCCTAAGAAAAGACTGGAGGGTTGACAAAGGTGTGCTTGCTTCTACCGTTGGAATAGTGTAGCATATTATACAGTTTACATTTATTGGAGGATTATATTATTTTAAATAACAGAATCTTTATAATAACTTGTAAAGTGATGGGAGGGTGATGAATGATAATCTGTTTTCCTGCAGAGGTTCCTTGGTAATAGAAGGCAAATTCTTAGAAGAGTTGTGGGACATAATGATGAGTTAAGCATTTTTAAATTTGCTGAACTTTTCTGTGGCTATGAATACTAGGGAGGAGTTTTTATTTTTTATTTTTAAAAAGCACACATAACCCGCTGCTTCAACATCCATTTTAGTGATGAGTAAGGAAGTGATTTTTTTTTTAATTTTAATTTTTTTTACTTTATTTTTATTGTTGACAGATGTCCCCATTTGTAATTTTCAAAAAAAAAATTGTGCTATGGAAGATCATTTTGAAAATGTATATTTAGAACTGTTCTCATCATATAAAAATTTTTGTTCTGAAAATGATCAGTGTCTTCTATAAAAATTCATTTTTTACTACATGTAAATATTGGTAGACAGAATGATCTACCTTGTTGAATTTTTTTAACTGTTAAAATTATTAAAATGCCAAATAGTTGTAGGAACAGGTATAAACAGAGTAAATGGAAATTTTCTAGACATATTTTAGAAATCATCTTTATAAAATTGGTGGATGGGACTAAAATGAAATACATAAACATAGCCAACTATGAATGTCTTCTCTTTGGAATTGCTTGTCTTTGCGAAGTGCAGGTAGTCCTCACTTTGCACAGTACCCTATTAACTCAACCAGTCCCACTGTTTGACATGCTCACAGTGACATGTCACAAATCACATCTGTTACCAGAAAAATGCAAAATGAGGAATTGGTTCTGGTATATTGAGGTCCCAATAACACAGTACCATGGATTAGCATTCTGCCTGTATCTTTTTCAACTGTGGTAGCAATTAAAACCAAACATTGTAATTAAAACTTTTGAATAGTGTTAGATTGAAATTTTTAAAAAATTATCTTTAATCACATGCTCTCACTAAATAAATACCATATATATAATATACGATTGAGAAGGAAAGATGTGTTCAAAAACTGTTACTAATGGGGCACATAATCAAAAGAGTTTGAATACTACCACTATAGGGAGCCTTTGAAAGTTTCTGAGCATGGGAGGTTATGTTTTAGAATGATTAGAATGATTATGAGGTTATGTTTAATCTGTTGATAGTGTAAACTACCACCAAATAGAGTAGGATTGATATTACAATAGTCCAAGTGAAAAGTAATAAGGGCCACAACTAAGTTACTAGAAGTAGGAAAAGAGGAAAGAATGAATAAGAAGTTTTTCCAAGAGAGTATAAGTAGGACTTTAAGTTTTGGCACTGGGTAATGTGGGAGATGGAATACATAAGAATGACTGATCTTTAAGCTTGATTGAATGTTGGCTACAGTACTATTGATTAAGAAACTTGCAAACCTGTAGAGAATTTTTTATAAGAATCTATTTGAGCCAAACTGATGACAGTTGCCTGGAAGCAAGATTTCTGATGCTTCGAAGAGTGACAGTTTTGCAGTTTCTTTTATAGGTTTGAGAAAGATTTTGTGCTGTCTTGAGTGTGGTTATGCGTATTTCAAAGGTGTGTTAAATTAGATGCACAGAAACAATGGACATGGCTTGCTTAAGTCAGAGATGAATCTTTTACTAAAGAAGTCATATGCCTGGGGCGTAACTACCCACCATGACCTGCCCATTTGGAAATTTATGATCAGATCACATTGTGAGGTTACTTTCTATAGAACCCCTTTTTTTGTCCACAGGACCATTATTAACAGGGAGTCAAAAGAAGAGACAGCAGCCCTGGCTGCTGTGGCTCATTTGGTTGGAGTGTTGTCTCATATACCAAAAGGTGGCGGGTTCATTTTCCAGTCAGGGCGCATACCCAGGTTATAGCTTGGATCCCTGGTTGAGGTGCTTGCGGGGAGGCAACCAATCAGTGTTTCTCTCTCCACCTCCACCCCCCCTTTTCACCCTTTCTCCCTGCCTTTTTCTAAAAATCAACTTAAAAATTTAAAAAAAATAAAAGAGCAGGGTGAAGGCATGGGGTAAGAAGATACATTTACTTTTAGACATTGAGGGTTTGTTAGATATTTGGGTTTAGAATGATTTCCTGAGCATAATTATTAGCTGAGACAACCCGTTTGGCAATATAGCATAATAGTTAAGAACATTGATTCTGGAGCCAGACTTTCTTGGTTTGAATCCTGACTCCATCACTTCATAGGTAAGTTACCGCTCTGTGCCTCAGTTTCCCCATCTATAAAGTGGGAAATAGAAATAGAACCTAACCCACAGAGTTCTGTGAAGATTAAATGAGTTAATGTAAGGTATTGGCGACAGTGCCTGGCACATGGTAAACTCTTTTTTAAGTGGGTAAACAAATATGGAAAGTGCTCAATAAATAGCTAGAATGATAATCACAAAGCCTACAGTGATGAGCAATGGAGATTGACAATGTCTCCTGCCCCACAAGTTGCTTAGCGTTCAGTTGGGCAAACATTTATTATGTACTTGTTTTGTGCCAGGCACTGTGCTAGGCATAAGGAGTACAGGTGAAGAATGTAGTGAAGCCGGGCCCATGAAAGCTTAAAACCAGTTGAAAGGTGTAGTGAAAAGCTGTGAGTGTATACAGGACCTAATTGTTTTGCAAACTACACGCATTCCATGATTTTTTGGCAATTTTGGAAAGGTTTCTGGACAAAAAGTCTACTTTTGTATTATTTGCAGCACTAGGCATAGAACACTGTTTCTAACAATGGCTATTGGATAACAAATTGAATGATTGAGGAAGACCACAGGAAATATTAAATGTGAATTGTTTTGTTAAGAAGAGTCATTCTTATTTCAGTTCCCAGAAACTATGATCCTACCTTACATCCTTTTGAGGTCCCACGAGAATATGTAAGAGCATTAAATGCTACCAAACTGGAACGGGTATTTGCAAAACCATTCCTTGCTTCTCTGGATGGTCACCGAGATGGAGTCAATTGCTTGGCAAAGCATCCAAAGAGCCTGGCTACTGTTCTCTCTGGTTCATGTGATGGAGAGGCAAGTGTTACTCTAAGCGTTGATGTTTTAAACTAAAAAATAATTATATTACAAATGTTCTTCCTTTAGTTTTGAGTTACTGTGGTTTTAATTGGTTTGATTTCATTTTTATGTTATTTTCTTTTCATTCTCAAGACTGAATTAGTAATTTCAGTAGTTTGTTATCTAAACCCAAGAAATTAAAAATGTTGTAGCTTAAGATTTAATTTGATAGTAAATAATAAAAGATGTTTGTAATAAAAATACTTCAGTATGAGTTTTATTAATAACAAGATGTTATTAATGGTTCAACACTTAATTGTTTCCCACCTGGCAAAGAAAGAAAGCTTTGAAACACTTTAAGCTAGAATCAACAGAATATTTAACAGATTGAATGTTTCATTTGTTGGTATACTTATTCTTAATGATTGCATTATTTTTTTTTTAATCCTCACCAGAGGATATTTTTTTTATTGATTTCTAGATAGAGTGGAAGGGCGAGAGAGAGAGAGAAACATTGATGTGAGAGAGACACATCAATTGGTTGTCTCCCTCACCCACCCCACCCACCCCCCGAGGCCGGGGATCAAACCTGCCACCCAGGTACATGCCCTTGACTAGGAATCAAACCCGAGACCCTTTTCTCCGCAGGCCAACACTCTTAACTGCTGAGCCAAACTGGCCAGGGCATGATTGCATTATTTTGATCCAGAGGATTTTGTTTTTAGCTGTCTGGTAGAATGATTCATTGCCTTTTCAGTTTTGAATTTAATTTATATTGGAATGTAGTATTCCTGTGCCTGAACATTTTATATTTACAATTTACTGAAATTTCCTGGTGTACTTTATCATAGGTCAGAATTTGGAACCTGACCAAACGAAACTGTATTCGTACAATACAAGCACACGAAGGTTTTGTACGAGGAATATGTACTCGTTTTTGTGGGAGTTCTTTTTTTACAGTAAGTATAATGCAGTTATGTTATTAACTCTTTTCAACATGTATAAGACTGATATAATTGCTTTCTGAGTTCATTTATTTCTTCCAAGGCTCTTTCGGAGTTTTACAATACAAAACAACTTACTAAAACCTTGAAAAGTACAAGTTTTCTTTATGTAATCCAGCTTCCCGATGCTTTTTTATTTTTTAAATAAATAATTACTTAATATAATAATGAACTATAGGGTACTGAGAAGTGGGATTAATGCAAGGTGAGGCTAGAAAGGTGGTTTAGTTTATTCTGGAGGATTTTCAGTGCTAGGGATGAGTAAGTTGTATTGTGTCAGATAGTCGTAAATCATTGAAGAAGTAAATCATTGGGGGGAGGTAAGATATACATAACATAAAGCTTACCATTGTAACCATTTTTAAGTGTACATTTCAGTGGCATTAAGTATGTCACATCATTGTGCAACCATCACCACTATCTATTTCCAGAATTTTTTCATTTTCCCAAACTGTAACTCTGTTCCCCCATGAATAACTCCCATCCGCCTTGTTTCTAGCCCTTGATAAGCACTGGCCTACATTGTGTCTATGTATTTGACTATTCTAGGTAGCTCACATTAGAGCAATCATATAATGTTTGCGCTTCTGTGTCTGACTTAATTTCACTTAGCATAATGTCCTTAGGGTTCGTTCATGTTTTAGACTGTCAGAATTTCTTTCCTTTTTACGGCTGAATAATATTCCTGTGTGTGTGTGTGTGTGTGTGTACACCACATTTTTTAATCCATTCATCATCCATCAATGGACACGTGGTTGTTTCACCTTTTGGCTTTTGTGAATAATGCTGCTATGAACATTGGTGTACAAATGTCTGAATTCATTGAAAGTTTTTAATAGGGGAATGGCAAATCTAAGCTGTCTTTTGAAATGATTAATTTGACAGAGTAAGTGATCAGTTTGGAGGCTGTTTTAATAATCTTGGTAAGCAACAATGGATCAGTGCTGGGTAATGAAAACAGTGGAAATTAGTTTTTAAGTTTGGAAACATTTCGGAGGTTTGACAGGCTTGATAACTGTGGGATCCCTAAGAAGGTGGTGGTTTCTGTTACAGAAATGGGGAAGCCAGGAGGTCAGAACAGTAGAGGGGGTGAGGCTAGGAAGGATAGAGTGCGATGAGTTGGACTGCCATGGGCTGTTAAGTGAAGATGTCTATAGACCTTTACAGATGATCTGAAGCTCAGGAGGGAAGTCAGAGTTAAACTTGGAAGCATCAATACAGAAATAATGATTGAAGCCATGGTATGGCATCATATGGGAGAAATGAGGTAGAAAATGGAGAAATCAGAGCTGTCAGGGAACTAGACTTGGGGAATACCACCTCTAAGAATGGGGAAACTCTGGGAATAGCCAGAGAACTAGAACTTGTGAATGAGCTTAATGCCTCAGGAGGAAGGGATAAATTGGCTGTGTGAACTACAATAGAGGATGATGAGGAGGAAGACTAAGAAGAATATTTTAGGAATGTAGACCTGCAAAAAATAGAAAGTTAAAGGTCCTATAATTCTACCATTTTAGTTCTAACACTTTTAGAAGTTTGATGTATATCTTTTCAACTGTTTTGACCTATATGCGTAACAGTTTGTGTATACATACACACTAACCAACTCTGTAAATTTTCCTTATTCTCTATTCAGAGGTCTTTTTTGTTGTTGTTGTTGTTTTTACCCTCACTTGAGGACATTTTTCCATTTTTTGTTCAGATAGTGTGTGAGGGAGGGAGAGAGAAAGAGAAACATCGATGTGAAAGGGACACATTGAGTGGCAGCCTCCTCCCACATGACCCGACCAGGGCCAGGGACGAATTGCAATCAAGGTACATGCTCTTGGCTGGAATCGAACCTACAACTCATTGGTCCGTGGGCCAACGTTCTGACCACTGAGCCAAACCGGCCAGGGCTCAGCGGTGTTTTTTTTTAAAGAATAGATTGATACCATGCTGGGTGCAAAACTCAGATAGTAAGGGAATAATGAAGGGAAGAGATGAGTTCTGGGAAACCCGAGAGCTACCTTTAAATATTTGAAAGATTGTCATGTGAAAGAGGAAGTGGATTTACTTGTTTCATATAGGAGCATTAGGAATTAGGTGTTAATGTTAAAAGATTTGGTTTTGATGTGAAGAAAATTTATTTGCTATCAAAAACTAAAATAGGCCACATTGCAAAGCATTTAGTAGCTTTTCACTAGAGGGGTGCAGACAAGTTTCAAAATCCTGTATGTGTATGTCATAGAAGGAATTGGGTGGGAAGTTGGAGCATACTGCACCTACATTTCTTCCATTTGGTTATTCTGGATATGTTGACTAGTTTAACATCCCAGCCAGAGGACTCACTCTTTTTTTTTTTTTTGATGCTTAAAAATGAGTAAAGACTGAAATGTTTTATATTCACTATTCATTTCTCCCTTTCTTTAGGTATTATAAGCAGTGAGTGCTTGGCTAGAGATGAGACACATGTGAAAACTGCTTGCTGGCATAATTTCAGCACTTAATGTTTCAAAAAATGTTTAATATACAATGTTGCAAAAGATAAACCTTTATTTCCTAAATTTCATAGTCTCTGTTGCTATCCCAGTTTGTGGTACCAACAGGTCCTTCTTCACCTTACTCAGCCTGGAGATGAGATATTTTTAGTCAGACATATTCTTCTTTGGTTTCTTTTTCCCAAAAGATGTTAAACCTTTCTTAGGTTTGATGGTGTTCTGAGGCTTGTACTCAATAGACTTGTATAGAGTAGCTTAGGCATCTTCAAGGAGGTTCAGTCTTGAGCTAGCAGACACTGTTTATCAGAAGCTTGATTAAAAGAAACAGTCTTCAGGGAGGGTGTTCTTAATGACAGTTTATCCTGTCTTCCATAAATGCTAAAATATTCCATTGAGTCGAGCCAGATCAGTCAAGACCTCTGTACTCTGATTACCTTTTTTTTTTTTTTTTTATCCTCACCCGAGGACATTTTCCCATTTTTTTGTTCAGGTAGAGTGGGAGGGAGAGCGGGGAACAGAGAGAGAGAGAGAAACATCCATGTGAAAGGAACACATCAAGTGGCTGCCACCCGCACGACCGGCCAGGGCCGGGGACAAACTGCAGCCGAGGTATGCGCCCTTAGTGGGAACTGAACCCGGGTCTCCCAGGACTGCAGGTTGACGCTCTAACCGCTGAGCCAAACCGGCCAGGGCATTTTACTGGCTCACAATACTGATTTCCAGAATTGCATGGTATGGTGCTAGTAGCTTAGATTCAGAGTTGTTATTAAGTATTTTTGGTCTGTTAGCACCCTCAACAAAAGAAATTCCAGTCTGACCTTAGTACCCAAACTTCTCTCATAATCACTTATCCTATTCTAATATGAGTACTGTGAATTGTTTTGCAGGAAGGGTTTCCCTGTTTTTTTGGTTTGTTTGTTTTTTTAATCCTCACCTGAACACATTTTTTCCATTTTTTGTTCAGACAGAGTAGGAGGGAGAGAGAGAGAGAAACATCGACATGAAAGGGACACATCAAGTGGCTGCCACCCGCACAACCCGACCAGGGCCGGGGACAAACTGCAACCGAGGTGCGCGCTCTTAGCGGAAACCGAACCTGGGTCTCTCTGGACCGCAGACCGACCCTCTAACCGTTGAGCCAAACTGGCCAGGGTGGGTTTCACTGTTTTAATTTGCTGCAGGAAAAGAACTAAATTCATGCTCTTCCCACAGATATATACTAATATTTTTATTTAAAAAGTGAATGTAGCCCTGGCCGGTTTGGCTCAGCGGTTAGAGCGTCGGCCTGCGGTCTGGAGAGACCCGGGTTCGGTTCCCACTAAGGGCATGTACCTCGGTTGCAGTTTGTCGCCAGCCCTGGTTAGGTTGTGTGGGTGGTGACCACTCGATGTGTCCCTTTCACGATGATGTTTCTCTCTCTCTCTCTCTCTTTCTCTCTCTCCCTCCCACTCTATCTGAACAAAATATCGAAAAATGTCCTCGGGTAAGGATAAAAAAAAATGTGGATGTAGAGTATATATGATATGGAAATGTAAAAAAATCAGGAAGTTAAAGTAGAATCTTAGCATTCTACTTTTAGTTAAAACTAGCAGTTTGATATATATATATATACTATTTTGTTCAACACCACATATATGATTATTTTATGTTATTAACCCCATATCAGGTTATATTATGCATTCTGTTCTGCAGCTTGCTTTACCTAATATCTTGAACATATCTGCCACATACCCAAGTCTAAGTTACATAATAGTTGCCTTGCCTTGGTTTGGGCTAAGGTGCCAACAGTTTTACTCTTCATTGCTTCTTTACTTTCCGTACATCTGTGAGCACAGTGAAAAGGCAAATGATGTCTTTACTAACATTATGAAAATAGTTTTGACCCCATGGACGTCTGAAAAATTCTGAGTCCTTCAAAGGTCTGTAGTTCAGTTTGAAAAGCATCAACTCAATAGTTTCTGGAGTTTCGTGTCAGGTAGAGAAGGACTTTATTCATGCCAAGACTATAAAAATATTTTCTCCCTAATATTTTTATGTGTTTTCATTTTTCACATTTAAAATTACCTGGAATTTTATTTTTATGTTTGGCATTAGATTAGTTCAACTTTTTAAATGATCAACCTGAAATCACAATATTATTTTATTAGAATTGATTTTTCTCTCTAATTTGAAATGCCATCCTATTGCAGTTTGTGGGTTTTTTTGCCATTTTATGTGACCTAACTTTATTCCTACTCTTATTTTATTTTGCTCTACTCGTACTATTTTATTTTTAATTGTATGTACTATATTATGTATTTGTTACAAATCTTTACTTTAACAAGGTGAGATATAAATGCATCAGTAATTATTATACTGGACAAATAATGTATGTGCCATTTTTTAAACTGAAGATGTTTATGGTTTGATGTATATGTTGGCAATCTTAAAAGTTGTAACTGTTACTCATTATCATCATCATCATCATAAATATTTTTAGGTTGGTGATGACAAAACTGTGAAGCATTGGAAAATGGATGGACCAGGCTTTGGAGAAGAGGAAGAACCATTGCATACAATATTAGGAAAGGTACAAAAATAAGTTGTCTATTTAAATTCTTTTTTTCTTTTTCCAAATTATTTCATGATTTTAATTTTCAAAAAAGATGCAAATAAGAAATCAAAGACTTTAGGCTGTAGTAAGTGACCTGTTTTAAGCAATATTTAATGCAATTATGGTTCTTTACAGTTAAAGAATTTGAACAGTTCTTCAGTGTTTGTTGTAGTAGGGTTTGATTTCTCTCTTTTAGCTAGAGGGTGCAATGAAACATTTTTTCTAGCAGGGTCCTGGGGGGACATCTATAAGGTAGAAAGAACAGAAAAAAATAATGCTTCAGCTTCTGTCTGATTTATATCATAGATCTTACACAAAGCTCAGAATGTCTTACTTGAAGGAATCATTTAGGAAATGAAAAAATGTAATAACGTAATGATGTCTTTTGTATAATTCTTACTTACGTTTCTTAGAACATTATTCTGCAAATCAGATGATGTGATTTAGTTGTAGTTTAAGTATAATTTAGAACATTTGGCTACCCATGCTTTATATGCTTACATTTGATAGTAAACAAATTCTAAAATTAGATTTCATCTTTAAATGTATGCATTTTAAACCCACTTTGTCATTTCATTATTATAATTAGTATATATTTAGGTTCTGCTTTTCAGGTTTCAAAAAGTTCCAAATGTTCTTAAAGGGATATGGAGGTCTGGTATGAGTATGAGATGGAAATAACTTGCAGGTGGTAAAAAAAATAGTCAGTAATGCCTGAAACAAAATTGGTTTTATAGTTTTCAAATGCTTTCTCTCTGGAAGTTCCAAAAGATTTTTGAAATATTTAGTCTTACCCCTACCTCTATTATTATGGGCAGTGAATTCTAATTATGAAAAAGTTGTAGGCCTTGCCTTCAGGAATAGAAAATAATTAAAAACCTGCAGGTGCTGGTAGGAGTCCTTAAAAGTTTAAAGTATTGGCAAAATATTTCCCTCTAATTTGCTTTTCAAATAATTTTTACCATATAGTACAAAGGCAGACTTGAATCTCAACCTGAATAGATTAATCACATATTTTAAGTGGATAATACCAAATTTAAGAGATTTTACTGCTTTTAACAATATTAGCATTTACCCTCACTGATTTTACTTTTCTCTCTAAATTTTAATCCAGTTGTTGGTATCTGTGTTTCTGTCCTGGGAGACAGTACTTCATGTGGTAAATGTGGAATGAAGTCTTTTAGAAATTACCTTTGTATTTCTTTAGATCCTTCAGTACCCAATGATGATTTTAAAATTGCTTCAGTGATATGTTTTCAAACTTAACTAAATGCATCCCATGTTAGCATTTTAAGTAAGGGCTTCAAAGAAGTTTCTTTGTGAACAAGTGTTTTCTCAAAAAGGAATGAGAGGATAGATAAATATATTTAAAATATTATTTTGCCCTGGCCTGTTTGGCTCAGCGGTTAGAGCATCCGCCTGCGGTCCAGAGAGACCCGGGTTCGGTTCCCGCTAAGGGCATGTACCTCGGTTGCAGTTTGTCCCCGGCCCTGGTCGGTTGTGCGGGTGGCAGCCACTCGATGTGTTCCTTTCACATCGATGTTTCTCTCTCTCTCTCTGTTCCTCTCTCTCCCTCCCACTCTACCTGAACAAAAAATGGAAAAATGTCCTCGGGTGAGGATAAAAAAAAAAAACAAACAACAATAAAATATTATTTTGTAGAAAAGACCTATCTATAACAATCTCTTTGCTTTTAAAGACAGTGTATACAGGAATTGATCATCACTGGAAAGAAGCTATTTTTGCCACATGTGGACAGCAAGTGGACATTTGGGATGAACAAAAAACCAGTCCTATATGCTCAATGACCTGGGGATTTGACAGTATCAGTAGTGTTAAATTTAACCCAATTGAGGTAATGTTTCTTTTGGAAATATTTTTTGCCTGTTGTTTCCTTATTAATAATTTCAGCTCTCTGTAGGAAACTTTTAAACATGTGATACAGTGTTTTCTGAGTTTTTATTGTGTTTCTGGCATTTGGTCAGCTTTCCAGATTATATCTAAGTTCTGAGACCTTTGTTTGGTCAGATCTCAACATATTTGCCCACAGTTTAGTTCCAGATACTAGTATTAAGCACCATTAGAGGAGGGTGTGTGCTTGTGCTCGTGGCAATAGAATCCAAGCAAACACTGTACTGTGACAGTTCACTTTTACTCATACCTTCAACACTCATCTACCACAGATTACATCAGTGTACCTTTAGGAAAATGTTAATTATTACTAACCTTCTTGGCAATCAGAAGGAGAATTGAGCATTGCTTTCTTTAATTATTTGTAAGTGACAAGGGCATCAATGCTTCATAATAATATGTTTGATATTGTACTACATGAAATAGTTACATTTTTCTTTTCAAAGGAGTATGAATTGTGATTCCTAATTCCTTCCAGGTCTAAGAGAAGAGTTGGAGATTGGCTACTACTTATTGTCAGATCCAAATGTAGGAAAGGAGGCTGCCCTAAAGGCTAAGCTAGGCCTTGGACTCCAGATCTTTCCCTTCTTTTTCTGAATGTATGACAATAGGTGAACTCATTGCCTAAGAAGACTCAGTAGAGATGCTTTTTCCTATAGAAAGAAAAGGAACTTGCTGCAGGTGTAAGCTGATTTTAGAAGTTATCAGAACATTATCATGTTAGATGATATAAGAGAAAATCCTGATACGCACATTTTACACTGTCAGTGACCCACAGCTGACAAAAGGAGGATAGAAAGGCCAAGTAAAGGTAGTAAGGTGTAAAAATTATTTGTATGAAATATTGGAACCTGAGGTGCTGTCATATAATGTGAATTTGGCCTTGTGGTGCTGCTGGGAAGTCAGTCAGAAGACCCTCTCCCTGCCCCAGTACATATCTGCTGCCATCGTGCCTTTGACCTTATACAATTCAGACTTTTTACCTGTATTTGTTTCTTTTAAAATGAGATTAATTATATATCTTTCGGTGTACTTCACAGGTTTGTTGTCATTGTAAAATGTGATAATGTATGTGAATATTTTTAAGAGGTGCTATCTAAATTTAAGATGATGTTATTACTGTTTTTTTTAAAAAACAGAAGGGATAGATTCTCTGAGGGAAGGGTTTGATTCTCTGCGGGAAGACTTTTTTTTTTTTAATCCTCACCCGAGGACATTTTTTAATTTTTTGTTCAGACAGAGTGGGAGGGAGAGAGAGGAAGAGAGAGAGAGAAACATCGACGTGAAAGGGACACATCGAGTGGCTGCCACCCGCATGACCAACCATGGCCGGGGACAAACCAACCGAGGTACGTGCCCTTAGCGGGAACCGAACTCGGGTCTCTCCGGACCACAGGCTGACGCTTTAACCGCTGAGCCAAACTGGCCAGGGCCGTGGGAAGATCTTTTGCTTCTCTGTTTTGAACACCTGTGTCAGAAGAACTGATGGGCAATTCTAAAATTATAATTATTAGTGATGACCTACAACCATGACCATGTTTTTCAAATTTACCTGTATAACAACTCTATTTGTTCAGCTGTGTGTGTGAGATGTGTTTTCTTTAACCTTATGAACTGACTTAGTGGTAAAAGCAAATGGTGTTCATGTCTCTTGTCCTGTATTAAACTTAATGGAAAGGGCATGGTGATGTGAACAATTGGAGTATATTTGTCTCCTTATTAATGTAATTTGTCTCCTTATTTGTCCTTATTAATGATAAATGTTCAGTAAAATATTACAAGCCTAGAATTCTAATAAAGTCAAAAGTTTATAATAAGTATTGCCACATTTTACAATGTGAAAGTTGGTTTTTAGTCTAGATAGAATTTTTGCTTTTCTCAGATCAAAGTCTTTACATTTAGAAATGGAACCTAGTCAGACCTTGAGATGACATAATGAGATACCAAGAAAGGCTGAGAGGAGTCACTAACTAGGAGAAAGTCTCAGAGAGGAATTGCTTTAAAAGGAGTATTTTGGAGGTCATGGTAATGTTTTATTTGAACTTGGCACAATATGTAGAAGGAGCTAGCCATACAGATACTTAGTAAATAAGTCTTGTTCCTCTTACGCTTGCTATACAAAGCAATTAGTAGGCAGAAGCCAAGAGGAACCCTGAGTGAGGAGGAATGGGCTACAGAGGGTGGGGTTTGGGGCTCCTCTGGTAGCTAGAGGGCTTTTTTTTTTTCACCAAATGCCAAGAGTTATGTAAGTACCTTGCACATTTATAACTGATTTACAAGTAAATATTTGAAGCATCGTGAAATAGTTAAAAAAGGACAGACTTAATTTATACAGAGAGCTAATATACCTGAGAATATGTTTAACTACTAATAAAGTGGTGATTTATATAATTAGAAAATATTGCCAGGCAGATACTAACTTCTAAGTGATACTACCTAATGCTGCTCGGTTGCAATAAAATAGAAATATTCCCACAGTGCAGTGTATATTGGTACGACTCTGGAAAATGATTAGCCCTAGATATCAAAAGGCATACATTTTTTAATGCTTTTTGATTCAGTAATGCCACTACTGAAATTTTATCTTTAGAAAAACAAGAGCTACATGTATAAAAGTCTTTATAATAGTGGAAAACAGAGAACAGGTCTAAGTTGAAGCATGGATTAAGTAAAATATGTTCTGTTATAAAACTGAACACAGAATTACCTGTACACTATCATCACTGTTATCTAAAACATATACATGGGGTATAACAATGAAAATATTTAGGTTGCTGAGATTATGAATGATTCATTATATCCTCTTAAAATGGACTATAATGTTATAACTTTGTATCCTAAACATAAACATTAAGGGTAATTAAATGATTTGTTCACTGAATGGACATGGTTTGCTGCCAAGCCTGACTTTTAACTGGTGATTGTTATACTTATTTTTAGACATTTCTCTTGGGAAGTTGTGCTTCTGACAGGAATATAGTACTATATGATATGAGGCAAGCTACTCCTCTGAAAAAGGTGAGTTTCAGTTGGTCTTCTGCTTTACACAATTGTGAATGCATTCCTCGATAAATTGAGTGAAGATATGGAGCAAATGTTTCTTCAGTATTAAAAATTACTGTTTTTCTTAGAGATGTTAGAACTCAAAATAATCGTAGGGGCATTCTCTCAGATCCCTGTTACTTTGTAGAGACCCTTATTTTCACTAGGTACTGTATCCTAGTCTTCTTTGTGTCTTCCAGGCCAGTAAATTTTAGGCATCTAATTAGCACTTATTAAATTGAAAGTTCTTTAATTAAAAGTATTGCATCCTTTTACTTCAGACCCCATGATTATCATGACACACATAGTATTCTATTCCAGAAAGTTTTATAACTAATTTACATAACCAGCTTTATTTGTTTAGTTATGTGCTGACAGGTACTAGTTTGGCATTTTGTTTAGACAAACACTATCTTGTTCAAGGTGACCGATTTCCCAACAGTGCTAAGCAGTCACTCCAGGAGTTAATATCAAAGCTAATAGAACCTTAGGCTAATTCTAAAGGGAGAGAAATACTGTCAGTAAAGAGAAGAGTGCTGATAAAGGAATCGTGAGCATACAGGAAGGGTCAGACATCATTGATGACCATGAATGAGTTCATTGTCATAGTCCACAAGTAAAATAAATGCTTTTAATATTTTTCTTGTTCCTAAATCATTTTTATTACATGTGATAAATTAAGAAATATTAGAAATAGAGTATATTCATTGAAGTTTGAACTTGATAAAATGGTAAACTTTCCAAAGTACCATTTTAGGTTGCTGAGATTATGAATTTCACTCATTCATGTTGTATAGTAGGAAGATCCTACATGAACTTTGGTTTTAGACTTTAAGCAGGTAACTGAATCTGTGTTTCTCCTATGAGTGGTGTTTCTCCTATTAATGGTGGTATTAATAACAACCTTGCAGGACATTGTTGAGAATAAAACGATACGTTAAGCAGTTTAGCAGAATGCTAACATGAAGTCGTAGTTTAATAAGTAATAGTTTCTGCCTCCTCTGCCCCTGCATTCTCAATTTTTGAATGGTTTTCCATTACTTTTAGGTTGAAGAAAAGAGCTGTACCCTGGCTTTCAAGGCTATCCAAAATCTGGTCCCCATATGTTCCATTTATTTATTTGTTTCAGTCAGTAAGGCATCCTATAAATAGGTTTATCACATGCAGATCACTTTGATGGATGTAGAGGTGCTATTGTGTATTATTTCTTAGTTCTGTCTGCTAGACTATCAGTATTTCTTTCATCTTTTCTCTCCTAAATGTAGCAATCAGATTGTACTCCCCCACCAGGTGTATTTTTGGAAGTGTGGGAGGGGTATTTTAAAGATTGCTACTAGCGTTCATTGGGCAGGTGCATAAGAGGCTAAACATCCTACAGGACAGTCACACACAGCAAAAGATTTTCCTACCCAAAATGTTACTATTGAGAAACTCTATAATACACTAGTTCTTCACAGGTTAGCTTCAATCATGTCTCATTTTTCCTGATTAAACTTTAAAACTGTAAGTTATTTGAGGTCAAGGGATCTTTATTAAACATTTGCGTGCGTGTGTGTGTGTTGTTAATCCTCACTCGAAGATATTTTTTCCACTGATTTTTAGAGAGAATGAAAGGGAGGGAGAGATGGGTGTAGGGGGAGAGAGAAACAGAGACGTAAACAGACTGGTTGCCTCCTGCACATGCCCTAAAAGGGCCGGGGATCAAACCTGCAACCCAGGTACATGCCCTTGACCAGGAATCAAACCCAAGACCCTTCAGTGCCCAAGCTGATGCTCTAACCACTGAACCACACTGGCCAGGGCAGCATTTTTCCCACTCCGCCTGTGTGTTCAGGAATCCATTATTCACTGATTTCTTTATGTGTTGCACTGAGCCACGTACTGAGCACATAATATTTACTAAGTATTTGCTTATATACTGAAAAGAAAGGGAAGGAAATGAAGTGGGAAATTTATTCATTTAGGAGGGAATTAATTTCATAGTAATCAGTGTATGCATTCTTTATCAGGTCATCTTAGATATGAGAACAAATACAATTTGTTGGAACCCTATGGAAGCTTTCATTTTCACTGCAGCAAACGAAGATTACAAGTAAGTGTTTCTCTTTTTTAAAATTAATTTATTTATTTTAGAGAGAGAAACATTGATGTGAGAGAGACACAACACAATTGGTTGTCTCCCTCATCATGACCGAGACCAGGGCCAGAGGTTGAACCTGCAATCCACCCCCATCTCACCCCACCCCCGCCCCATCCATGGATCAACACTCTAGTCAAACTGGCCAGTGCAGTTTTCCTCTTCTTTTTTTTTCTATCAGAAATGGCTCAATTGTATATCTTATTAATGAAATATGTTTTCTATGTAGTATTCCTTTATATATGTTAGAAGACTGTCATTTGTTTTCATATATATATATATATATATATATATATTTTTTTTTTTTTTTTTCCCCAAATTGGAGAAGAGCCTCATAGAAAGTAGTCTCAGTTTTCACTATGATGCTGACAAGGGATAGTAAACTATGACCTGTGGACCAAATCCTATCTGCTGCCTATTTTTGTAAAGTTTTATTAGAAATTGCCACACTCATTTATGTACTGAATGGGGCTGTTTTTGTGCTGTCATGCCTGGGCTGAGTAGTTGCAACAAAGACTGTATGGCCCACAAGCTGGCAATGATTATTTGCCCCTTTACAGAAAACATTGGCTGATCTGAATGAGACATACAAATAACAACTGAATCATACACGTTTTAATAGGAACTAAAATTGTCTGCCTACAAAATTTGAAACTCTTCAGGTAGCTGAGACTCATGTAGTCATGTTATCAGTTGTCATTGGGTGGGATTTTATGATTCTTTGTAATTGCTTTAAAACTTGTTGAGGCATTTCACATTGGCTCTCTTACTTTGTCTTTGTAGTATCCCTAAAGGTGAATAGGACATGTATGCTATCCCCTGTTTAGAGATGAGGCTATTGAATCAGGGAGATAAATCTAGTGAGGAAAGAGTGTCTTATTCATCTTTTTTTATCCAAAGCATTTATTGTAGTGCTCTGCATATGGTAGATTCTTAATACATGTGTGTGTATGTGTGTTTGAGAATGTGGAAGCTTATCATTGGTTGAATTTTAGATTTTTTGCATTTAAATTCTTTGTTCTTTCCACTGTTTAGAAAGCATAAATGAGCTCAGAAATGGGATTTATTACATGATGTTTTAATGGTACCAACTAAAAACATCTATTTTGACTTTCTATACTAAAAAGAAGCTCACTTGGACTCTCCAAACCAAATTAATAGAAGGCCTTTTGGCCTTTATTGACATTTTGAAATTAAATGGCCTTGTTTCATTTAAAGACAATGAAAGCATGTCCTGTGGACCTAACCTTATTAAGGTTTCTAAAGTTTGTTTTAATTGGCTGTTTGGGCAAGATAACTTTTTTCAGAGTGTCCCTGGAATTTCTCATTCCTTACCCTGGGAAGAATTATACGTGACACTGGAAACAAAGAGCACGGCCCTTGTTAGAGTACCATACTTTTTCTTACTCGAAAGTGATTTTGCTATGGTACCCTTTTTGTATATTTTTAATATTTCTTTCTTGTATTGCTATTTAGCCTAATCATTCTAAATTAAAAACTGAAGTTCAAGTCTAGACTCCACCAGTAGCTACTGTAGAAATTTGGAGAAGTCATGCAGACTAGCTCTGTGCCAGTTTCATCATCTATAATATATGATCCCTAAAGAATTTTATAGCTCCAGACTTTGTTTATGTAAACATTTTCCACCCAATATAGAAAATAAAACAAATTACTAAATAAATAAAACACTTAAACATAATTAATACGAAAAAACCTGGTTGAAAACCGCTGCTCTAGACAATGAATATAAAGCAGTGTCAATTCAGAAAGTTAACCTCAAAGATCAATTTGACCTTGGCTGACAATCCTATGGTATGTCGGAAGAGTTTAAAAAGAACAATGACTCATCTCTTGATGAAAATTTCATGGTATTTGGGATATTTTATCAACAACATCAATGACTTTTCATAGTAATGGTATTAAATATATTTTTTGAAGTGTTAGACTTTTAAAAAATTTTTATTTCAACTAGAATTTGCAAAAAAGTTATAAAATAAGTGCCTTTGAACCAACTTCCTCTAATGTTAATGTCTTATATAACCATCGTTCAATTAGCAAAACCAAGGAATTAACATTGGTACATTACTAGTAACTAAATTACAGACTTTATTCCATCACCAGTCTAATGTTCTTTTTCTATTCTAGGATCCAACACAGAATCCCCTGTAGCATTTGATTGTTATATCTCATTACAGTTGTCCCTCGCCACTTCTTGCTTTGATGTTTGCGGCTTCACTCTATCATGGTTTTTTCCAATATAGTAATATTTGAAAAAACTGCGATAGAGTGAAGCCGCGAACATCAAAGCATGAAGTGGGGAGGGGAGGGATGACTGTGTATAAATAAAGAATCCTACTTCGTGGAAATGCATTAATCGCGGTAGAGTCCAGAACTGATTAACCGCGATAAACGAGGGCCGTCTGTAGTTTGCTCAGTCTTTGACTATTCCTCAATCTATCCTGTCTTTCATGCCCTGAGTACTTTTGAAAAGTATTTACTTGTTAATTATTTTGTAGACTGCCCTTAATTTGGGCTTAACTGATGTTTCTCATTATTATGCATTTTTGCTAAGAATACCACAAAACTGATATGCCCTTTGTTGGGGCATTGAATCAGTGTTACAGGATGTCTATATCTTATTACTGGTTATTTAAACCTTGATCACTTAGTTAAGGTGGCATCTGCCAGGTTTCTCCACTATAAAGTTACTGTTTTTTTCCTTTTGTAATTAGTACATATCTTTGGGGAGATAACTGTGAAATTATATAGATATCCTATATCTCCTCAAACTTTTGCTCACTAATCTTGGCATCTTGAAGTTTTTTGATGTTAGGAATTTTGTCACAGTGATACTGTATTACTGTTGTTCATTGTACACATTGGCTCATTTGAAGTGCTTATTATTCCTTTAGCTGTTCATCAAGAATTTTTAAACCTTGATAGTCGTGCAGTTATTGTTTTTACCAATTGTGCACAAAGTATAGTTTTCTAATTTTAGTACACTCTTTTGAAAAGCTGTGCTTACTCATATATATCACTGATAAGAGTACAAATTAGTGCTAGGTAATGTTAGAAATGATTTGTCATCTCAAAAGCCTTAAAAATGTTCTTAATCCTTTCAGGAATCTGTCCAGAATTAATTGAAATAATCTTATTGAATCAAAGATTAAGTCTCAAATATTCAAATATTAGAATTTTATTTAATAATTAATAAATGAATTTAAACAAATTATAAATTATTTTAATTTATTAAATAGGCAATCATTAAAATATTTTCAAAGATTATTTAACTGAGCCTGGCCGGTTTGGCTCAGTGGTTGAGCATCGACCCATGCACCAAGAGATCACCAGTTTGATTCCAGGTCAGGGCACATGCCCAGGTGGTGGGCCAAATCCCCAGTGGAGGGCATGCAGGAGGTGGCCAATTGGTGTTCTCTCTCGTCAATGTTTCTAGCTCTCCCTCACTCTCCCTTCCTCTCTCTCTAAAATCAATAAAGAAAAAAAATTTTTTAAAGATTAACCAATAAATGCTCATAATACACTATATAAAATATCAGAATACAGAGCTTTATATAATACTATCTCAGTTTTATTAAAAGTACACATTTAATTTGCATGGTGAAAAGATTAGAAATAATTATACTACGCTGACTTTCTCTGGGTGGTAGAATTAAAGGTAAATTTTATACTCTACTTGTTTGAAATTTCCACATTTTCTACAAGGAGATTATAAGGATAAAAGTGTGTAAGTATAATCTTAAGGAATAATAAAAACTACTATTGTTCACTGTCCCTTACCTGCTTTGTAAAGAATTGAGCTGTTTATTTGTATGTACATTTTTCACCTAGCGGTGTTTCTTTCACATGTGTCTCTTAGTACTGCATATGCTGCTTTATAGAAATCTACCAAATTATTAAAAATTCTTTTACAGCTTATATACTTTTGATATGCGTGCACTGGACACTCCTGTAATGGTGCACATGGATCACGTATCTGCGGTGCTTGATGTGGATTACTGTCCCACTGGGAAAGAGTTTGTGTCTGCTAGTTTTGATAAATCTATTCGAATCTTTCCTGTGGACAAAAGTAGAAGCAGGTATGTTACTACCAATAAACCACTTATGTTTGTTTGGTTTTTCTTTGTCTTGATCATCATTTATCTTTGTTGGAAGGTTGGTTGTAGGTATATGATGGGGCTCATACTGTGGTATTATGACTTGGAGTACCAACTTTCACTGTAGCATCTGGAGGAAATTTACCCATGAGAAATAATGATAATTACAGGATCATGGTGGTGTTGCTCACGCTCAAAGCTATGACCACCTCCACTTTAATACAATTACATTAATAATCTTGAAATTTAAAAAGGAAATATAAATATTCTCTCTAAATGTAACATACACACACACACACACACACACACACACAGTAGATGCATGCATATATATACGCACATATACTTTGTTGAGTGGCCTGGTCTTTCTTGATGGAGTTATAATTTAGCAGGGAGAAGGTGAACTTGGTGGAAGAGAATGAGGAATAATTGGAACAATAGAAAAGGAAAGGACAAAAATGGGTAGAATCAGGGAAAGGAAAGAATAGAGAACCTGTATAACGAGGGTGGGAGGTGATCCGTGCTAGAGGACAGCAGTTTTACTCAACTTCATTACATGTAGCAGAGAATTTTTCTGGGATCCTTCCTTCAACTTAAAAAAAAAAATCTAGATGGCATTCAGTTGGTATTATTACTACAACAGGTGGAGAAAGATCACCACTTAGTGCGGTGATGAGAATTTTAATCATTACTCGTGATCACAACTGGCCTAGCTTCTACACAGTGCTGAAGGTTTCGGAACCTTTTGAAAGAATGCTGTTCATTTTCAAAGGCATATCGTGTTCTTCTCCTGACTCACCATCTTTCCATTCCAGTAGGGCTAGGACTAAGAACTTCTGAGTGAGGTGCCTAGAGTACAGAATTCAAGGAGTTACTCATTCTCAGGGCTCTGCAGGCATCAACCCTGTATCTGCACAACCCTGAGAGAGAGCACCGCTTTAAGAGTTTACAGTGGGGGAATGTCCGGCTCGCAGGCCGTATGAGGCCTGCAAAATCAACACCAGCTAACATCATACACCTCATCAAATTAGCCTGGCCAAATATGCTGGCCAATTTTTAAGTTGATAATTTTGTGTGGCCCACAAATGATGTTATAAATATCCAAATGGCCCTTGGTAGAAAAAGGTTCCCCATCCCTGTAGTAGGCACCTCATTTGCCTCACTCTGTACTCAGTTCTGTCTTTCAGACAGACCCTCCTCCTGAGAGTGGAGCAATTCCTCCATACCTTCTTTGGTTGTAGCCAGTCTGTTTGCCTAGATCTTTGGTGTTTTTACTTATATAGTTGCATCATTCCTTCAGGTTGAGAAAGCCATATTGATTCCTGAAGCACCTTATATCATCAGTGATTGCCAACAAAATACTTGCCATCATCACTGTGTTTAATTAAATCAAAAGCATACTGACTGGAGTGTTTGGTGACTTTGACAGTCATTTCATTTCCAAATCTTCATTCCATCATCTTCGTTGCAGAACTCTGTGTTAGTTTTTATATGGCTGTTGCAACTAACTTGATATTATAAACTGTCGTGAATGGTTGTTGGGATTCTTTTTTTTTTTTAATCCTCACCCAAGGATATTTTTTTTTCTTTTTATAATCAGATAGAGTGTGAGGGAGGAAAAGAGAGAGAGAGGGAAACATTGATGTGAGAGAGAAACATCAATGTGAGAGACATACACATCGACTGGCTGCCTCCTGCACGACCCGACCAGGGCCAGGGGATGAATTGTAACCGAGGTATGTGCCCTTGACCAGAATCGAACCCATGACTCATTGGTCTGCGGGCTGAAGCTCTAACCGCTGAGCCAAACTGGCCAGGGTTGTTGGGATTCTTTAGTCAGGCCCAAGGCAAGCCTGATAATTTACATTCTGCTCACCTCGGGAAAATATTAAGAATCAAGAGAATGTAGCCCTTCATCATTGCTTTGCACCAGAACCTCCCAAGGCAGTAGGACAGTATTTTTCCAACAGGATGGATAAGTAGACACACAAAAGATGGTAAAGGAACAAAGAAAAAGTAAGAAATGGGAATGTTTAGGCACCTATAATCCCAAGGGCCTAGCAGCTAAATTCAATCTGAATTTTTCCAAAGCCAATGTGGACAACTAAATGCAGGTCTAGCTAAAAAAGCTGAACTTATTCTAAAAGTGTATGATGTGAGGTGTTCTTATACCTCATTTTCAGGGAATTGTCTGCTGATATTATTTGGGGATTTTATAATCACAGTCTTAATATGTCTTACTTCCTATTGGGTTTAGATATAAATGGTATTCCCTTTGACCTTTGCCTTTATTTGCTTGAAAGCTAGTTCTAATTTGTTTCTGTGTCTGCTCTAGTTTCCTAACATTGCACATCAAATAACACAAGTAGTGCTTTGGATGATGTGTATTTTAAAAATATTTTTTGCCCAGCCAGTGTGGCTCAGTGGATTGAGTGTCGTCCCGTGGACTGAGAGGTCCAGGTTCTATTCCTGGTCAGGGCACATGCCCAGGTTGTGGGCTTGATCCCCAGTAGTGGGTGTTCAGGAGGCAGCCGATCGATGTTTCTATCTCTCCCTTCCTCTCTCTCTAAAAAAAATCAATAAAAACATTTTAAAAAATAAAAATATTTTTTTTCAAAAGACCTTAAAATTGTTAAGGTATATTTTTAAAATAAATTTTGAGTAGATTTTTTTAGAACTACAGTTAAACCAATATTTGAAAATAGGCTTCTGTTGGGATTTCATGCAATATTTACTAAGAAACCAAGTAAATCAGTTGCATTCACATGGAACAGTGCATTTCTGCCATATGTCTCAGCATGAACATACCTAAAAATTAAGAACTCTGCATAGTTTACCAAGAAGGAGGACTCCAAGTTGGTTAAGTGACCAGTCATTGGATTTGACTGGTCTAATACATGAACGGGTTATTTTTAACGGTTACCAAAGCCTGCTTGAATTTCCTACTATTTAAATTCTTACATGGCTGTGGGGAAAAAGGGGCCTCTTAAATATGTAGAGATTATAAGAATTGTCTTGTAAAAGCAGAGCATTGAGAGGATAAGAAAAAACAGTATGTCTCATCTATTTTTTAAAATTTTAATAGGATGTTCTTTCTAACCATTTCCCGACTTTTAGAGGTAAATTTATTATTGTTTATGTACCTGTGCCTTCAAGAACTCAAAACATGTCTTTTAGAAACAGTTTAAAAGTCTAGTTTTGTGAATGTACTTCAGAGATTCTTCTACAGATGTGAGCTCTATTTGACTTGGTCGTCATGTATAGGTTTTCTCTTAATGTGCAGATTGCTGAGTTTATTTCCTACTTCTCACATAGTCTGCAATTGAAATCATTTTTAATTCAGATATGGAAAATTTATTTCTCTACGAGTCTTGTCTTATTTTTTCTGACTTTGTCTTTTACTTGCTTTTTAATACTCTTCTTCACACTTCCCAAGATAGGATCTTCTATGAATTCACTTAGCATGTTTCACAGCCTTTCGGAATAGGTATAAGATTTGACATCTCCATTTATCGGATGATTCTTACCTCAACTCATCAGCACTTCTATAGCCCTCCCTTTTCACTCACACATGTTAAATCGACTCTCACTTCAATTAATTAGGCTTTTTAAACAATTTTACCAAAACAAAAATCAAATATGAGGACCAACATATCAAGGTGTGCTCTTTGAATGCCATTGCATTTATTTTGTTTTCCTGTAAAATAAAAAAAAGTATGATGATTGACTAGAATTGATTTGAGGGTGAGTGGAGACTTAAAAATCAGTCCATTTTTTATTGTTACAAAGTTCTTCAGCTTTAACGTATTTTATTTGTGTTATATACCTTCAGTTATTTGAACATTTTTGGGCATCTAGTTTTGCTTAGTTTGTATTTTTTTTAATTGCACTGTAACTTCTCTGAGGAAAGGAATAATTTTTAATTCCCAGCACTTAACATTGAATCTTGTTAGTTTGGTTCAATAGAAATATATTAAAATGATTTGAATTTCTTTATACTCTCTTTGGACTCAAAAATGGTATTCTGATACTTGCCTAGGCAGCGATTCAAGAAAATCTGTACTAAAATCCTAGGGGTTTTAACTTCATTCCTCTTCTATAGGGAAGTATATCACACAAAGAGAATGCAACATGTTATCTGTGTAAAATGGACTTCTGACAGCAAGTACATTATGTGTGGATCTGATGAAATGAACATTCGTCTTTGGAAAGCTAATGCTTCTGAAAAATTGGGTGTGGTAAGAGACCCCATTTTCTTTCATTGTCAAGTAAAGCTGGCTTCTAACTTTATTGAATATCATTATATTATAAAGAGAATTTATTTGAAATACTTTTAGGTATTTTGATCAAATTGACATAGTTGTAATAAAAAGAAATGTGAGAACCAAAACAGACAAGGCTATATTGAAATCTTTTTTTCAGGTCAAAGGTGTCTTCAGAGGCCTTTGTTAACACAGATGTTTGATAATATTTGAGCCTTCTTGATTCTTTGTGTTTTCCTTGAAGTAGGGAAAGAAGATGTAGGGACTATAAGCTCAGAATTTAGAACACCTATTTCTTCTGGTAGTCGGCAGATTAAAGGCTGCAGGTCCCTGCGAGATCTTTTGATATTAAAGACATAGTGAAACTCTTAACTTAAAAGAAAAAAAATACAGAAAGCTTCAGACTTGAGAAAAGATTCATTGAAAATATAACAAATATTATCATTGGCTAGCTGCCTCTGGGTTGTGGGATTATGGCTATTTTTGTTCTTGATGTTTTTCTAAATGTCTCATGTTTTATCTAAGAAACATACAGAGTGTTTTTTATCAGGAACATACTAAGTTTAAGGACAGGTTAAGGGTGAGTTATTTTCTGCCTAGCCCTGGTAGGGAAATCACAAGATGATAAGCAGTAATTAAAGACAATTCTGTTTAGGTTTAATGATTGCTAAGTATTATACTCTGCCCAGGTTTCAGTTCATGATTAAATCTTTCTCAAAATCTTATCATCCTTTACATTGTTAAACAAGTGCTAGTTATTGTAGAATCGAACACTTACTCTTTTTTGTTTCAGTAGTTATTTCTACAGAAAAAAAAAACAAAAACAAAAAAAGAAATAGTGCTTAATTAAGGCGGTTCTCTATTATTTATGCCTAAGGAAGGTCCAGCTCAGTGCTCCCCTAGCACTGCTGCTTTTCACTTGGTGGCACTTGTCTGCATTGTGGGCAGGCTGCCTAAAAGGAAATTCAGCGCTCGCAGAGCTGGCCCTACTGACATGACCTTGCAAACAGTAGAATTACAGTGGCAGTTTTGGTTGCGTGTCATAAAAGTGTAGTTTTGGGGGAAATTTTTGCGTCCTCCTAGCTTTGTTATTCTGAAACTAAACAAAGAACACACTGTCTATTAAAATATCAAAATGGCATTGTTTCAGCTTACATCACGAGAAAAGGCAGCCAAAGATTATAACCAGAAGTTGAAGGAAAAATTTCAACATCATCCTCATATAAAACGTATCGCTCGTCACCGACATCTACCAAAATCTATCTACAGCCAGATTCAAGAACAGCGAGTCATGAAAGAAGCTCGGCGACGGAAGTATGTTTTGGGGCATTTGACTCTATCTCAGTACCTTTTTTCTGACTTATCCCCCTCCCCCCAATATCACCAAAACCTGCTTTTGAAGGGAAATTTCTAATAACCTATTTTTGAGAATATGTTTAAAGGGCAGACAATGAAAATAACTTTTATCAGAATAAGAAAATGTTTCTGCTCATCCTGGAGAACTGTTCTAATCAGATAATGTTTTCTTTAAATGATTTCTAATTTAGCTAGAATTAAGAGGTATTGTGTGTTCTCCAAGATAGATAATGCAAAGAACTCATAGTGCACACTTCGTAAATAAAAATTTTTCTAATTTGCCTCATCATAACATCTAGAATCTAACATTTTGACTCTTAAGCAGAACTTGTCACCACTGTTTCCCCTGTGGAATATTCTCTTCCTTGCAGTTCTTGAATTCATGCAAAGTATTGTAGAAATTCTAAAATGGAGCTCATTTAAAAAAATTTTTTTTAATTGATTTTTAGAGAGAGAAGAAGGGAGAGAGAGATAGAAACATCGGTGAGAGAGAACATCAATTGGCCACCTCCTGCATGCCCCCCACTGGGGATCGGGCCCACTACCTGGGCATGTGTCCTGACTGGGAATCGAACCAGTGACCTCTTGGTGTATAGGTCGAAGCTCAACAACTGAGCCACACCAGCTGGACAGAGCTCATTTTTTTTTAATGATACTATAGCCCTGGCCTGTTTGGTTCGGTGGTTAGAACGTTGGCCCACAGACCAGAGAGTCCCGGGTTCAGTTCCTGCTAAGGGCACATACCTCGGCTGCAGTTTGTTCCCGGCCCCAGTTGGGGTCATGTGGGTGGCAACCAATTGATGTGTCTCTCTCACATTGATGTTTCTTCTGTCTCTCTCTCTCCTTCTCTCCCTTCTGCTCTGAAGATAAGTGCAAAAATGTCCTTGGGTGAGGATAAAAATAAAAAGTAACTCTTAAAATGATACAATGCAAATGATTATTTTTCTGTCTTTGGATGACTGTTGGGCTTGAGTTGCTTTTTGTATTTTAACAACTGTGGCACATTTTTTAACTAATAAAGGACACTGGTTTGTAAGATCAGTAGCAAGTAATTAGCTTAACAGAACTTTATTTCTAGCTACTTTTTACCTAATCTCATTGTGAAAACTTTTTCTATAAATGGTTTTCCAGTGAAAGAAAATGCTTTGTGATTTTTCTGAGTAAGTTTTCTTTGGTTAAGATGATTTCTTATAAACTTGCTTATATTTTATATATTTTGTCTTATTTCCAGGGAAGTGAATCGTCTCAAACATAGCAAGCCTGGATCTGTGCCAATCGTGTCAGAGAAGAAGAAACACATAGTAGCAGTTGTGAAATAATGTTTGGTATTCCTACCAATACTGATGTATCATTATTTGTTACATTTTGATTTGCAAACTCTACAAATAAAAATACAGTTAATCCTTGAACAACATGGGTTTGAATTGGCCAGATCCACTTATATGAAGTTTTTTTCAATAAATATACAGTTGGCCCTTAGTGTTCCCAGGTTGTGCATCCATGGATTCAACCAACCTTGGAACAAAATAGTTTTTTCTATTTGAGGTTGGGAACCCTTGAATGCGGAGGGCCGACTGAAGCTATATGTGGATTTTCGACTGCTCATGGGGTCGGCGCCCCAGTCCCATGTTGTTCAAGGGTCAGCTGTACTGGCTCTAGTATACTAGACAGTTTAGTTATATGTGTAACTTTATCATTGCTCACTTTGGCTACCCTGAAAAATTATCTTTTGAAGGTGGCCTGGTTGATAAAACTATCCAACATTTTATCCTTGATCTGCTTACTTATTTCATTGAAGAATACAGAGCATTTGCAAACTAACTTATTTTTTCTGTTAGGAATTACAAATATACTTTCACTCTAATGTATTATTGTAGACACTATACATTTGATTTATATTTTAGACCAAACATCTCTTGTATTACCTTTAATGTTACTTTAAGTAATTATTGCAATGATTCTTCCTAGGATTTTACATAACACATAGAAAAATTATGTCAGTATTTTTTTCAATTAAATTTCTTTTTTATGCTTTATATTTGGCCTTTTGAGACTTTTCAAGATGATCAGCCTGCATTTATGTAAATTTAATAAATGATAATTATAATTTATGGTCAAGTCACAATAATAAAACATTATTTTTCTCAACATGGTAACTTTGATCCATTTTTGCTAAACCATTTCTCTTCAGTCTCACTAAGTCGTCAATAGTTGTGTGTGACATAGGTGGGGTTTTTTTTTTAATCATCAGCGTAGTAAACTATTATAAATATATATGTATAAACCTACATTTTAGAAAACTTTAAATAAAGAAGACATTTAAAATCCAAAGGAAAAATGTTTAAGCATATATATATTTGTAGTGAAAATATGAAGAAATGCACAGAGATGGTAAAGATAAAAATGAGAAAGGGAGGAGGACACAGTTTGCGTGGGAGACACAAGAGACTTTAACTCTTTTGGCGAGGTTTATTTCTTAAGCTCTGTGTTCATTCTATTATTTGTTAGGCCTTCTTGGATATCTTAAATATTTCATCATCTTTCTAAGAGATCAATGATCTATCTTTTAATCCTTATGATCTGTTGTAAGCCTCAAATTACTTGACTTTCAAGATGAACTAAGTTCTCTTGTGGACCTATACTGCTATTTGGGTGTGATTTCAAAGAAAATACTGATCCATATACATGAGCATGTGTTTAAGTCCTTTAGAAAGATGCCTAAAGGAGGTAAGACAGGCAAGGGATTCATTAAAGGGAACTGTCTAAAGGATGAAGAGGAGGGTGCAGGAATAGGCCGGCAGAGCCTCCCGTCTGTACCGAAGGCTTGACTCCTGTGAGAGGAGAGCCCCAGACCGCAGTGCAGTTCTAAATAAGGTTGGGCCAGGCTGATGGGATGTCCTCAGGCCAAAGTAGCTTGTCACAGGATTCCTATGTTGTACAAGAACAGGCCAGCGCTGGTACCTTCACTGCTCAGTCGGTGGCCAGGAGCAGCCCTGAGGAAGCGAGGCCCTGTGGAGATTGCAGTGGGGAATCCAGGGGGATGGCAGCCTGGACTCGGTCGGCTGTGCTTTCTGCAGCCAGTTCTCTTGTGGGAATTCTAGCAGAGCATATCTGTGGCTGCACCCCTACACCATCCAGATACACAGACAAGTTTGGGGAGCAAATCTCCCATGATTCCCCATGTACCTCTTAGAAGAAAGCGTTTGGTTGGGTGATTGGTATCCCGTCAACTGAAGAACCAAAAACTAGTGCTCATCAACTCTATCTTCCATCATTTTATCTCCTTAGCAGGTCTTTGTGGCTTACCTAAAGCTGTGACCCAAACATACCCTTCGCAGGCTGGGGTTACGACTAATACCTTTTCACAGTTGCAGTGGAGCAAAGGAATACCAATAGGCACCAAATGGATGGCCTGTATTCTGCACATATTTCTCCAATCCCCCCACTCCTGCTGATCAAAGTCAATTTTCCCTGCTGGGAGGGTGACTGCTCTTTTAGTCTTCTGGTCCCTGGATGTAAGTACAAAGTACCCTGGTAACAGCATGTGGTTTTTTAGAACTTTGCTGTGTTCCCTAGCAAGAGTGTGCCCCCTTTGGTGGTGAATACTTTCAACCCTGCAGAGCCCAGAGTTTTAGGAATGGACAGCAGAGTACTCCAGTGGATTACTGGAAGTGATGGTAATTGGAGCCATTCCTCTCTCTGGGTCCTTGGTCTGATATAAAGTTTGTGATACTATGTATATACTGCATCCCATAGGGTGGTACTCTATCCTTTCAACTGGTGCTTAATTGTGTCTTTAGTAGGCCACTTACTAATCTATGAGACTGCATATTTGCATGTTTGCGATATGACCAGTGGGTCCTATGGTTGGGCTCACTCTCCTCGTTTGGTATGAAGCAGGCCCCCTGGATGAACACTATGCTGAGTGGAATTCATGCCTGTGAATTAGTTATTCCATTAATGCCCAGATAGTGGTGCTGCTGAGGCTCTGTGGCTCTGGGATCTGGGAATACCAGATGAAGATGAATCGCTGGCCTTTCTAGGATCAAAGGGATCCAATGTAGTCAAATGACACCAAGTGGTGTGTTGTTCTTCTAAAGGAATGGCGTCATGCTGCAGGCACAGTATTAGTCTCTGTTGCTGACAGGTTGGACAGTCAGACACAATAAGTAAATCAGCTTTAGTAAGTGGGAGTTCATCTGTTGAGCTCATCCATAGCCTCTTTCTCTGCCAGAAGCCATTCCATCCTTGTGCCCATGTGTCTCTTCTCTTACAGGCTGGCTAATGTCAACTGATGAAGTCATTTTGTCCACTTGTTTCTTCAATGCTTCTTCTATGGTAGATGCTTTCTGGTGGCATGAACATGTTATTTTAAAAATGTACTCATGGCCCTGGCCGGTTTGGCTCAGCGGGTAGAGCATCAGCCTGCGGTCCAGAGAGACCCAGGTTTGATTCCCGCTAAGGGCATGTATCACGGTTGCAGTTTGTCCCTGGCCCTGGTTGGGTTGTGTGGGTGGCAGCCACTCGATGTGTCCCTTTCATGTCAATGTTTCTCTCTCTCTCTTCCTCTCTCTCCCTCCTACTCAATCTGAACAAAAAGTGGAAAAGTGTCCTCGGGTGAGGATAAAATAAATAAATAAATAAAATAAAAATGTACTCATGGCCCTGGCCGGTTTGGCTCAGTGGTTAGAGCATTGCCCTGCAGTCCAGAGAGACCCGGATTTGGTTCCCACTAAGGGCACATACTTCAGTTGCAGTTTGTCCCTGGCCCTGGTTGAGTCTTGCGGGAGGCAGCCACTCGATGTGTCCCTTTCACATCAATGTTTCTCTCTCTCTCTCCTTCCCACTCTATCTGAAAAAATGGAAAAATGTCCTTGGGTGAGGATGAAAAAAATAAAAGTACTCATGTCCACTACCTCATGCCCAACCACATACCTTTACCCCAGACCTTATCTCTGATCTAGCCATTTTCCTTCCACACCCTGACCAGAGGGACAGCCATTGGCCACAACCCGGAAATTTCACCTAAAATCACTTCTACATAAAATGATGACCAGGTACATTGCTTACGAATCTGCCCACTGGGAAGATTTCCCCCTCATCACTGTCTTTCAAGACTTCCCTTTACATACCTATAATGTAATCACTGTCCATTTGCATCTTACACACTCAATTTGTAGATTTGAACCAAGCCAACCAATCCATTGGTGAACTAAGCTTGAGCATCATCTTTCTTCAGCTGGTTGTACCTACCCTACTGCTGTAGGTGCAAATGGTAGGAATGGCACTGATGCAACTGTGGTGGGTGACATGGAGATCATTGCTACCTGCCCACACAGCTTACTCATGCCCTATGGTCTTGATTGGGCTTAGTGTCAGATGTTCCATTTTTAAATTCTGATGGAGTGCTTCTGAGTTCATACAAATTTATGTCTTGATGGGTCTGAGTAAATTAGATTATAATGAGCAGTTCTGGACACATGGTTACCTGGTACTCATGGTCAGGCATGCTGTGTCTACCAGAGCTAAGTAACATGCTATTTCTCAAAAATTATAATTCTCTGTCACAGATGGTGGGGCCATGTTCTGGAATCCTAGTCTTATGATGTGATTCTCCCATTGGGGCTTGCCATATACTCCACACTGCATCTTTGCTCACCACCAATGCTTCCTATATGGTCTGCTAATCTTGTGGCCCATGCTGCAGGGCTGCTTGCACCATAGCCTAGACCTGCTGCAGAGCTATTTCCTGCTTTGGGCCCCATGCAAAACTGGTAGCCTTCCATATTACCCAACAATATCCAGAGCAGTAAGTATTCCTAGGTGTGACATGTGTTGCCTGCAGAACTCAAAAGGGCCTACCAAGCTTCCAATGCAGTAAGTAGCTACATTTTGGAAGAGTTCTGGTGGCATTCCCCTGATTGCTGCACCTCTAAATAATGGCAGGTGGCTGAACCTTTATAGGATTGACCTCATGTGTATTACCAATGTTTCCAGCACACTCGCCGTCTCTTGCTTATTTTGTTCAATCAGCAGACATCATCAATGTAATGAATACATGTCATGTTCTTTGGACTATGAGAAAGTACAAGAAAGTTAACAGCTCTAGGGAAAAATTAAATATATATTGTACATTTCATGCAAATGTGAACTGTTTCTGATCCTCTTTCTAACTAGAACAGAAAAGGTATTTGCCAAATCAATAACTGTACACAATGTACTTGAGACCTAGCAATGATACTATGTCTAGCACAGCAACTGATCGGGGCTTCTACTTTCAACCATTTACAGTGGCCTACATTACAGTCATTCTCCAGAATCCATCTGACTGGCAAATCAAATGGAGGTATGAAAAAGATCACACCTTCTCTCCACCCCCATCTTTTTTTTATCCTCACCTGAGGACATTTTTCCATTTTTTGTACAGATAGAGTGGGAGGGAGAGAGAGGAAGAGAGAGAGAGAGAAACATCGACGTGAAAGGGACACATCGAGTGGCTGCTACCTGCACGACCAATCAGGGCCGGGGACAAACTGCAACCGAGGTACGTGCCCTTAGCGGGAACCGAATCCGGTTTCTCTAGACAGCAGGCCGATGCTCTAACCGCTGAGCCAAACCGGCCAGGGCCACCCCCATCTTTTAGGTCCTTAATGGTAGCACTAATCTCTTTTATCCTGTCCACCCCAGTGCAATAATGTTTCTGATTTAATATCTTGGTTGGGGTGGGATTTAAAAGGTTTTAACTTGTTTTTCCTCACTATTACAGCTGTTACTCTACAGGTCAAGGACCCAGTCTGATGGTTATTCCAACTATATCATTCCCAATTACACTCTTGGGAACTGAGGAAGTGACAACTGAGTACATCCCCGGACGTGGTGGACGTACTGTAAGTTCAACTTTAGATTTCTAGCTATTAAATGACCCCCCATTAGCTGCCATTCTAACAGGGTCATGATGACCTTTTAGGTCTTTGGGAATCAAATGTGAGCTCA